TTATTATTATTAGTTATTTTTTCTATTCTTTGCCTAACTCCAAAATTTTGAATTAATGGGGATGCCATTTTCTAGTTTTTGAATTGAGGAATTTATAAATATATTATGTCAAAAATATGGCCGCTATTAATTTTTCTGTTGTTTTTATTGTTTTATTTTATAGTGGTCATTTTATCGGCAAGGATATAAAAAGGCAAAAGAATAATAAAAAAGGGGAATGAATGAGTGGTGTCTCCGTTGGCGAACGGTCGTTGATGACTCGAGAAATTTAAAAGATGGGGAATTTTGATGGCGGAAAGACTAATGACTAAAATATTTAAATTTGCATGAAATATGTAAAATTAATGGGGAAATTTTTAAAATAGAGTAAATGAATGTCATTTTAAAATATTATAGAGCAATTGATAATAAAAATATGGAAGAATAACACAATGGAAAAATTTTGTTTTATTTTTATTTGTTAAAATACAAAATAGTTAAAAATAAATTGAAAATAAAAATAACAAAAAAATTTTTATTACTTTTTATCTAAAAAATTATGTAATGAAAAAAAGGAAAAAATAATTTCGAAAATATAAAAATTTAATTAAAAATTGAAAACCTTAATTTTTAGGAAAACTATATGGATAGTAAGGATAGTAAACTAAAATTTAAATTAGTTGCTTCTAATTTAAATTAAAATATTTGTATCAAAATCCGAAACAGTTATTGCTCAATGTGTGTATTTATTAGTTGAGTTTCCCCCTATCTAGCTTACATTCACGGATATTAAAAAAAGACTTTATTCCTTTGTAAAAAGAATTAAAAACAGCAGGAAGTAAAAATATTATGTAAAAATAACAACATTTTTTCCCCATTTATTCCATAAAAAGCACAAACAATTAAAAAACATTCCACAGCCCGTTTATGTAAATATATACAAAATATAAATCCAAAAATATCCTCTCTAAATACCTTTGAATTAATTGCGATTAGAGCCGAAAATAGAGGAAAATGAAATTGCTGGCAATGTGGCGGAAAAGCACATCATTTCCCCCTTTCAACAAAAATAGGAGCGCAACAAATTGATTTTAAAAATGTACAAAAATAAAAATATAAATATAAAATTAAAGTTGCGGATAAATTTTTTGTGGCAAAAAAAAGATTAAAAGAAAATTTTAAATTTAAAATAATTAAAAGCTTTAAACAGTTGCGTCTTAATCTACCAGACATATTAATGAGTAGATTATTCATTAATCTTTCGGTAAAAACAAAAAATACTTTGGAGCAAAAAAAGAAGGTCAGCCTCATAGAAAAGGGCAGCAATTCAAGGCCAAAACCAGTAAAAAATAAAAAAATGAGAGGAAATGAAAGAGTAAAAAATCATCAATCTCTCAACATCCGAATTTTGCGCAGCGACGCCATATTTTACCTACTATCTAATTGAAATTTTCAAAAAAACGTTAGGTGTGTTTTGCTGTTGAGGCTTTGTTGGGAAAAATAAATAAATCTTTTTTTAATTTAAAATAAATTTAGATTATCTAGATAACAGAAAATATTTGAAATACATAAAGGTTAACCTTAAATGAACAAGTTTAGAAAATATAGGAAGGACCCAAAATTAATAGATATAAGCCAACAATGATTAAAAGCCTAGAGTCTAAAAAATGGATAAAGACTTAAAAAAATTATTTTAAATATATGTATTTTCTTTTAATTTTTTATATATTTATAAAGAAATGCTTCTTTATTTTTTAATGAGTCAGCAAAGCTTTTGCTCTTTTAATAAAAGGTTATATAAAAAATATTTTTAACAAATGAATAATTCTTTAAATAAATTTATAGATTAATGAAAAGTCAAACAACAACAAAAAGATCTTATTTTTGTACAATTATCCTTTTCAAATAAAAACAAATGTGAAGAGATCCCCGATATTTATTCGGAAGTGCTAATCCATTTTGTATTTCTTTACAAAATAAAAATGGATATAAAAAATATTTTTTTTATTTTCAGTCAAATAAATATAAAAATTAATTCTAAAAATTATCTAAGGAATTATCAAAAGTGTTTGTTATTTTTATTTAACATTTAAATGAGGAATTATGCCAGGGATTAGGACTTCATTTAAGGACAAAGAAGGATATGAGGTTTTAAAGAATATGTACAAAACAAAGCGCAAGTCAAAAAGAATGGGAACTCTCAATGGACGTTTATGTGGAATGTGTGGTCTGTTTATATGGAGAATAAAAAGACTGGCGGCGATTTTGCTTTGTTATATTATTATTGTGTATATGAGGATTTAAGTGAAAATGAGGAAAAATTGAAGAGCAAAACAAAGAAAATAAAAATTAAAAAGAAAGACCCATTGGCCTTGAGCCCCCCTTCTTTTTAGTGATTTGTGTTCTTCTCTAAAATTAAAACACGGAAAAATATACACACATCATTGAACAAAATTTGGCGTTAATTTATATGAAAATATTTGTAATGTTTTTAAAAATACACAGAATAGATTTAGAAAATTATTGGGAACTTTTAAATATACTTACCTAATTTTATCCCTTATTTGTATAAATAAATAATTAATTTACCTAAAAACTCATCTCGAGAAAAAAAGGAAAAAATAAATATAGGGAATAAAAAATATTTGGAAACTTTAGTTTCAAAAAATATTATTGTCAAGAATGATTGATTTACTCAACTAAATATTTGGTAGGTAAATAAATAAACCAAAAGTATATTATTATCCCTTTAATATTTGTCCTTGTGGGTAATAACCGATATTAGATATTTTTTTATTTTTAAAAATAAATATAGTAGATATACAATAAAAATTATTAGCGTCATTATTTTATTTATTTACCTAATTATTACTATTTATGGGAGAAAATAAAGCAAAAAAAGTTTTTATTATAAAATAAAAAAAATAACTTTTATAAACAATAAAGGTTTAAATTAATTTTTTGTAATATTTTTTGTAAGAATTTTAAATTTTTTAATAAAAAGGGTGGCCAAAAAGAAAATTTTGAGGCTAAAAATAAATTGAAGGAAATGCTTAAGAGAGGGGGATAACAATGGATATTTATTTATTTTTGGGTATTCTCTTGCAGTGTCGTATTTCTAATAGCAACGTAAGTAAATAAATAAATAAACGTTTAAAATTTTATTTTTGTAAAAGCTTTTAAAAATTTTAAAATTAAAAATAAATAGAATATTTTTTAATAAAGAATTAAAAGTCTGCTCTTGTTGGCCCTCGAAAATTAAGAGATCAGGTTTTAGGAATTTTATAAAAATAATAAATTGAATATGATAAATATTTTTTAATTTAGAGTGACTAATTAATTGCTAAAAAATTTATTGAAATTCCAACTTTAAATGGTAGCTGATTTTCTTAAATTTTAGTCATTTCTAAATAAGGAAAAATGTTTTAGGAGTAAAATGTTAAGACGGAAATAAAATTGTTGAAAAATTATTTTACTAAAAAAGCTTTTAATATAAAAAAAATAAATGTAAATATTTCTAAATTTTAAAGAAATGATGAAATAAATAATTTTTTGTATTTTGATCAAAATATTCATTGCTGCAATCGAACAGAGGCTTAAGTGAGAAAATGAGGGAAAGGAATGAATTTGAAGTGAACAGAGTGCTCAAGAAGAGTGGTGGTTGGACAAATAAATATAAGAGGAAATAAAAAGGTGTTTGGACAGTTTTTTGTTTGGGAAAAGATTAATCCTTTCCTTTCCTTCTAAACAATCCCGTTCCTTTTCTCAAAAATTTATTTAAATACAAAAAATATTCTCGGCTCCCTCAACCAAAAACTCTTAAATTTTAAGTGTAACCAAAACTCAATATATTTTTCAGTTATAAACTATTTAATGTTCTCTTCATTTTGAAGACAAATTAAAAAATAATTTGATAAAATATATTCTCGATTAAAGAATTAATCGTGAATAAAAAATTTAAAGTTAAGAATTAGATGAATGTTTTAATTTTCTTCGTTTTTTAGAAATTTGTTTTTCGTGTTAATATAAAAATATATTTTTAAAGTTCGATAAACATCTAAAAATTTTAATATTTGCGTTATTATGTATTTATAATTAGTTTACAAGATCATATATTTTTTGTTCGAGTTAATTAATTAAAAATAGTTGGGTTGTTTTAATAACATATTTACATAATTAATGAGTGAATTTTAATAAAATAATTAAAATAGTGTTATGTATGTAACATACATAAATAATAAAATATATAAATGATTATTCATCATTCCTTAAATTTTGCAAAAATAGCAAAAAAAGGGAGAAGTGCTAACCATAAATACATATATGTACATATTAATCATTTCTACAAACTAACTGTCATCTTATTTTTTCACACTTTACACACCTCACGAGTAGATGAAGAAAAAAGAAAATTTATAATATTTTTATATAGTAACATACCTACATTTGTTTTAAATATTTATTTATTTTTTGATTTAAGAAGGAAAGATTTAATGGAATTTACAAAAATAGAATTAATGGATTTAATTGCAGTTAATTTAAGAAGTTAAAAAAGGAAATTAAGCTTTGAAAAAAGAGAAAAATTTTAAAAGAATTTATAAAATGTTTAGATTGAAGAATTGAAGACCTAATGTAAAGAATAAAATAAAAATATTAATTAAAAATTTTAAATAAAAATTCAAAAAATATTCGATCAAATCTTCAATTCCTCTAATCTCTGATTCTAACCTATGAAAATTAAAATAGCCACCACCTCCATTTGAAAGGCCTTTCCAATTCAATGGTCTATTTTTGGAGGTATCGAAATCAAGAACGGCGGCCATTCTATTAGAATAAATATGGTAAATATATTTTTGTAAAATATGGGTTTTGAAAAATTTTAGTAACTAAGTATAATGTACCACTATTTAAGCGTGAACTTAATCTTATAATTTCTCATTCATTTGACTGTCCACGTTAGGTTTGTCTCTTTAATTTATTAAAATCTGTTTCTTTTTTAAAATAAAGTTTCATTCAGAAGGTAATGGATAACTTAGCATCAACTTCGTCTACAAAAACAGCCTTAAAAACTCCTTTAGTTGAGACAACAAAAACTGCGGTCCCTACTCCAATTCGGACAGTTCTCAGCGAGAATACTTCGATATTCTTCAAACAATATGGCAGTCAATTTGGAAAATTGCGTCTCTCAATGCAAAATATATCCAACAGCATTCTACACTTCAAATTCAAAAAATCTAGCGGCACTAAACTCGCGGTTCGAGAAATTTTCTTCAATTTTAAAATCTTCATTAAATTTTTAGATAGAACCACAAGCCAGCGGAATAATTGGAAAACGTTCAGAAACCCTCATAACTCTCACTTGGGACATCTCTGCACACGAAGCTGTAACCCCCGATGGCTGGCACTATGTTAAAATGATTCTTTTGCTGGCGATAGATGGGAGATTTGAAGATTTGGATAATTGCTCATTGACCAGAGTTGTTGGATATCTACCGTCAAATGCAGCAAAATTTGATGAAAATGCAAAGCCTGACATTCTCGTTGTTGATGTTCCAAATAAATCAAACAGTATTCGACAACAATTGAGTCGCCGAGAACCAAGTCCTGCTCGAAAAAAGGCAAGTACTTCAAGGCAGTCAATTGTTCCTCGACAGGCTTCCCAGGCTAGCACAATAAAAAGCACTACTTCGGTTCGCACTGTTTCGTCAGAACTTCGACATCTTGAACGGACACTTTCCAAATTAGAATTGCTTGAACGGCAACAATTTTCTCGTTGGCTTCTTCTCTATTTCTTGCTAATTATGTAATTAATATTTTTATATTTTAATAATTTTTTGTCTTTTTTCTAGTTTTGCTGGGTTGTTGTTCTATATCTATCGTGTTGAGACCGGTCAATAATGGTGAGAAATTTAAAGTTTAAATTTGGAAATAAATTTTATTATTTTCAGTAAGGTGGAATTAATTCATTAAAGAAATGGATGTAAAGGATGGAATAAATATAAACATATATTTGTATATATACTTGTAATTAAAGAATTTGTTTAAAGTAAAACAAATAAAAATATTTTGTAAAATACACACAATTTTTATATTTTGTAAAGAAATATGTACATAGTTTATACATATATGATAGTTATATCTTATCTAGTAAATGATTCATTCAATTATTTTTTTCTTCCATCTTCATCCAAAATAAACATTTCTTTAATTAATTCATTGAGGTACAATAACATTATTTCTATTTGAAAATGCTGTATGTCTTGTCTGATTATTATTTACATTTGTTTGTATATCTGCTTTATTACATTTAAAAATAAGTCTTCTATAATTTTTAACAGTTAATAAAGTTACCTTAAAAATTAATTAAAAATATTTTTAAATTCAAAAAAATTACCAAAGGATTTAAAACGGTAATTAAAGCAGTCATTGGAGCTCCAAGCATCATACTAAGTTTCGAACTTATAGTTATATTAAAATGAGGTCCGATATTTACTAATATTTGAGAGAAAAATGTTAGTAAAGGTAGAAGTGCCTTAAATTAGTAAAAAAAGATTTTTTTATTTTTAAATAAATAAATTAATTGAAAATTAAATTTTTAGGGCATATCTACATAAAGGAAATAGTAATTTATATATATTTTCTAGACCTTTACAAGTATTATGTAGTCACGTTTAGAGGAAGGGAGAACTGCCCTTCGAGGGAGAAAATCATAGTTCGAGTTCGGATATCTTCTAAACAATCGTTGAGGTTTTGGGGTTGAGTTTGTTTTGCGGAGGATTTCCATATTCAAAAAAGGGATAGTACATACTAGAGATGTGCGAGACCGAAATTTTTCCAAGACTCAAGACTCAAGACCCAAGACAAAAATTTTTCCAAGATCAAGACTCAAGACCAAGACCAAAACTCCAAGACTCAAGACCAAAAATAATACAAAACTCGAGACAATTTTTAGGTGCCATAGGTCAAATTTTTGGTTTATTTTTTGTTATTTTGACACGATCACAGTCAACTTCAGCACAATCACCTATAATTTCGAAAAATCTATGCGAAATTCAAAGAATTTATCCGAAATTAAAAGAATTTTGGTGAATTTATCCGGGTGGAAAATCAATGAGATATATTATTTAAGAGGATTTGGGTGGATTATTTAGTTAAGGGGGATATTAGCAGGCGAAAATTTCGAAAATGTTGGAAGGCTAAGAAGCCAGAATTCTTCCTTTTCTAGCGCCGCAGGCGAAAATTTTGGGAATTATTAAGGCCAAGAAGCCAAAAATCTTCCTTTTCCTGCGCCGCAGGCGAAAATTTTATGAATTTTAGAAGGCGGTAGGCCAAAAAAATTCACTTTTTCAGCGCCGCAGGCGAAAATTTTGAGGATTTTGGAAGGCCATTCAGTAGATCCAAAGAGGCCAAAAAATCAAGACCAAAAAATAAAACCAAGACAAGACCAAGACAAACACCCCAAGACCAAGACCAAGACCGAAAAAAAACCAAGAAAAGTCTTGGTTCCAAGACCAAGACCAAGAGTCTCGCACATCTCTAGTACATACTTATACTTGGAGTTTAAAAACATTAGTTTCTTGTATCTTTTTTGTATTAGAGTAAATGAAAAAAAGTTCAATTAATCATCATTTTTCTGAATATCTATTTATGTTTAATGTAGTTTTTTATCCCGAAACTGATTAGTTTTTACCTGAGTACATAAAACAATAGTTATCTGTCTATTGACCTTCCGCATAGTTTCTAAATTAGGTCCATTATATTTTCGACGGACATACAGTTGAATTCTTATCCCACAAAAAATAATTATTGCATATATTAGAAATGTTAGAATATTTGCATACATTGTTAAACAGGATGAAATTGTATTACCCTATAAAAATTATGAAATTTATTTGACGCTAGAATGGAATTTAAGGAAATTCTTAAATCTAAACATTCTCTATTTGTCAAGTTCCCCTCTCAATTTAAAATTAAGCCTCAAATATATCCCCACACATTTAAAGTTAACTAAATTTCAGAATTCTCAACAATCATCTCAATTAAAATAATTAAACTTCCATATAGGATTGTAATAAATTTAGGTATATACCCGAATACGTTGACCGACAACATAATTATTTATTGTATAATTATCAAGTTCTAACAATGTAGCCAATTCATAATTTGTTAAATGTTCATTTTCTGGTGTTGGTTGGTTTACTATACTTGATATAACAAAAATAACCATAAGAGGTAGTGTGGAGACAAGAAGTATAATTATGTGATGTTTCCCATTAATTTTTACTTCGCTTAAAATTAGAGATTATTTTAACTTTGGCGACAAAAAAAGGAATTTTGGGTTATAAAATGACTAACAAATTTCACTCAACATGTAAGATAAATTTTAAATCAGGATACGGGATCGCCAATTTGTAAAGTTCGGTCTATGCTTAAAATTTTTAATAAAAATATACATATAATTACCGAACAACTGTTAAATAACGAAAAACAAATTGTGAACAAACATTCATTGTCGTAAATCTGGCAATAAATACAAAAAACATAAAACAAATACTTTGCCAGGGAGTTGGCAAATAATGTGTTGGTCCATATTCCCATACTGTTCCAACACCATTATCAGAAACATAAACCTAATTATAAATATTTTTATTCTCTGGGAAAATATTTGTTAGATATGTACTATTAATGAATTTTTGATTGGAAAAGTTCTAAACATTTTTCAAAAATTTTTTTATTTGTCATTTGAGGCCTCCCTAAACTTGCCCCACAACCAGATTGAAACCCCTCTACCTTGACCTAATCGAACCCGAGCATTCGGGGCGCAATTCTAAAATAAATAAACCGGCTGAACAACAGCAAATGAAAAAATCCCAATAATATCAACAACACAAGTTTGTAAAAGTATTCGATTATAAACTCTCATTTCATTCATTGTATATCGGAGAATTAACCAAATTAAAAGAAAATTAGAAAATAATCCAATTGCTTCCAAGTAGACGATTATTGAAGAATAAACTTCTCCAATCATTTTTTAACCTTTTTCTGAATAATTGTTAATATTTAAAAATAAATTTTTTATCTCTTGAATAATAGTTTTGTGTCTAAAAACAGGGAAGCCAGTTTAATCCTTATTAGAGAACGGAACGAGATCTTGATCAAAGATCTCGGTTATCGAGATCGATAATTTTTCGAGATCTTGATCTCGATTCTCGTACGACACTCCCAGTCCGATCTCTAGTCCTTATAGCGCCGCTATCAAAAATTAAAAAACTGTTTAAGCGTCAAACTAAAAATTCAGAATTGACAAAAAATCGAATCAAAATAGTTATCAGCGACTCTTCGGTTTTGTTCCTAACCTAAACTCTATTCAGGAAGATTATTTACTATCTAAAATTTTCATGTTCTTGCAATAGTGATATTTTGTGTATAACATTTTTATTATTTATTTTTATTAATTAATTTGAAATTTTTGTCAAGTTATGTATAAAATTTAAATTTTAAATAAAATTAAATGTTTATAAATGCCAAATAGTCTAATAACTTATGGTATTAAATACAAATTAATTACTTGAATAACGTGACTAAATTGTTTATTAAAAATATTTTTTAAAAATTTAAGTTTAAATTTTAAACTTTTAGCACGTAAGTCTACACATGAAGTTTCTTGTTTACTACAATAAATATTTTAATATGTACTATAATATCTTAACATAAAATAATGAATATATTCTTTTAATTTAACACGAAATAATTATTTAGCTGGTTGAAGTTTCCATCTATCATTAGTTCTTTTTATCACGTTCCTGTGTATCAGTAATTAATTACTTACTTTTAATATATTTTTATAAAAATTTAAATATTCTTTTTAATTATTCACATATTTTTTATAATTTTATTTAAAAGAAAAATTTTTTCAATTTAATTATTGATGTCATAATTAGTTTAAAATGCCAACTTTTAATTAAATTTGCCCCCAAGAGTGCAAAAGCGTGACTTTTAGACAAATCATAATTAAATTTTAATTTAAATTTTTTGAAGTAAACAGAATAATTTTGTTTGCTTTAAAGTAAACTAGCAATTTTCTTTAAAGTTTTTTAAATTAATTACCAGCTGAAAGTTTTTTCTTTGTTAATTTTTTTCCTTTAGAATATTTTTATTAGTTTAATTGAAAGTTAAAATTTATTTAAAGAATTTTTATTTAAAAAAAGTGGTGGTTGTTGGCATATTAGACTTTAAGTAAATAAAAGAAATATTACAGGGAATGCCATACTTAATTATAAAAATAAGATAGGGAGTCTAATGTTGTCTAAATTTGATAAATACTTTAATTCTCTATCTTATCTCTACCTTAATTCTCTTTTTGAGCAAAAGAACTTTAAATTCTAAGGTTTTCAAGTTAAATAAAATAACTATTTTATACTTCTGTTCCATCTCTCGTCCAATGAATTTTCGAAGCGTAAAAATAAAAATACTATTTTCCCCATATTAAGATATTAAAAATGATAGCAGAAATATATGGAGCTATAGCTTTTTGTATGGCAACATCTGGATTAATTTTAAATTTCCTCCTAATTTGGTTAATTCTTTGTTTTACAATGAAAGAAATGCAAATTTACAATCGAATCCTTCTACAAACCTGTATTGTCGACATTACTGCTATTAGTTTATTTGCCCTTGTTCAGCCGGTTAATATATTTTAAATTATTTTTATTAAACACGTAAATTTCTACAATTTTTGAAAATTAAAGTGAATAAAGACTGCCCATATAAATAAATCTATCTTGTGTATAAAAACATATTTTTTAATTATTCGCAAAAAATTTTTCTAAAAAATAATTAAAAAAAGGTTTACGTTTCTGACAATGGTGTTGGCACAATTTGGGAATATGGACCAACCCATTATTTATCAAACCCCTGGCAATGCATCGTTTTTATGTTCACTGCTTTTATGTTACGTATCACAACAATGAATATTTGTTCAGTTTTTGCTTATCGTTACTTGACTTTAGTTTGGTATAAAAAATATTTTTTGTTTTAATTCATTTAAAATTAATTTTAAAGGGGAATAACGATTCGTTGGAAACACCACATAGCTCTAATAATTATTTTTATGTCTCCAGTTGTTGTTTTAAATGTTTGTTCTTTTATAACAAACCAACCAACACCAGAAAATGAACATTTAACAAATTATGTTTTGGCCAAAACGCTTGAATTAAGTAATGATACAATGCAAACTTATGTTGTTGGAATGCGTTCAAGAGTGAGAAAATTTAAAATTCTTTTCATAAAATTTATTTAGTTAACACCTCTATCAGGTTTTGTTTCTAATTTTGCAACAGTTTTGACTTTTTCTTCGTATTTTATTGTAATAGCTTTTGGAGTTTGTATTCAATATCATGTTTATAAAAAATGTAAAGGAGCTGCATTTGCCAAAATGCGCTATATGAATAGACAAGTTACAATGGTTTTGGTTGCTCAGGTAAAAATTAAAATGATATTAAATCATTATTTCAAGTTAAACCCCCAAACTTAAATGTTGTAATTAGCGTTTTTTAAACCTCGCTACTCAGCAAGATTTACCTAAATTCACTTAAACTTATTTACATAAAATAAATTACATAATTTAAAAAATCCTTTTTAACAGGCACTTCTTCCTCTGATAACTTTTTTCCCTCAATTAATGACAAATATGAGTGTTTTCTTTACAATGCCAGGATTGTTTACTTCAGTAGCTGGAATGTTTCTTGGTACAACTTTATCTGCTACAATTTCTGTAATGAATCCAATTGTAATAAAATTTTAATCTTTTTTTAAACTACCAAAATAACAATTTAAAGGTAACAATTCTGAGTGTTAGAAATTATCGTCGTTTAATTTTTCGTTGTAAAAATGGAGAAGAAAATCAAGACAAAGTAGTCCCGTTACCGCCAACAACAATGACTGTACCACATAACAGAGTTGTTATAAATGAAACATGGGCAACACGAAAATGAAAGGAAGAGAAATATTTTGGAAAATAAAAAGAATTTAAAAATTGATTAAGAAAAAATTTGAAAATTATTTTCGATTTCTATTTCTGATATTAATATGTAGAAGATAAAAGTTTTTACTAATTTGTAGTTGTTAACTTTATATCTTTTTATTAATACATTTAATATCTAATCTTTTATTAAACTAGAAATTAGGATATATATGATGAAATTTTACCAATTCTTTTTAATTAATTTAAATAAACATTTCAAAATAAAATTTAAATAAAAGTGCAAGTTTAAAAGTTATTTTCGTTGAATAAAAGGGCAAAATGTAAAAATACATTTAATTGATTTAAAAAATAAAAATACTTTTAAAGTGCATTAATTTTGCCGAATGAGTGAGAGAATAATTGCACTTTAACATGCGCCTATCGGATTTAAGCGGTCGCTTATATTTATTGTACCTTTATTTTATTAATTTTAAATAAAGAAATAGACAATTTATTTTTCATTTCATAAGTTTTAAAAGTTTTAAAATAAATATTTACAATTATTTAAAATAAAAATATTATTTTGATAAGTTTATTTGTCTGTATGAGAGGAAGGAAACTTTCTTTACCGTCTCATGTAAGAATAAAATGCTTCTTTATCTCTTAAATTTATAAGAGGAATTAATCTGCTTTTTTAAATTTTCCTCATTTAAGAATTTTCTTTTTAGAATTTTCTCAAAAATGTATTTATTTAAAATATTTATTTCAACAATTTTATTGGCAAAATTATGCAATTGTGCATTTCAATTATTTAATACTGAAAGACAATATGAATTTCATGGATTAGTTACCCCAAATTTAAATAAAATGGGTAAACCTATAATTTGGTATATCCAAATGATATGCCGTGAAGGATGTAATTCCCATTCAAAATATTATTCATCAATTACGCCTGACACTGTAATTGATGCTGGAAAGTTTTCTTTTAATTTGATGGCGGCAATGAAGAAACAAGGGGGTTTTGAAGAAATTAGACTTTTGGCTGTAAATATATCCTCTTTGGATGAAATTTCAAATAAATATAGGGTAAAAATAAATTTTTAATAATATTAATTATTGTGATTAAAGCTAGATAAATAAACATATGGAAAACAATTAATATTTTGATATATTTTCTAAAATATACTAAACATTCTTCATAATAAAATTTAAAAAAAGTCCAATATAATTTTTTTAATTTTCAGTCATATACATGGGAATATATAAATCCAGAATTTACCAAATTTCATCACTTCCAATTTGGCCATTTTGAAGCAAATTCAGAAACAGGATTTTATTTAGAATTTAAATTAAATGAAGGGAATAAATTACCTTTAACAATTTTAAATAGAAATTCGAGAGTTTCTTTTAATTCGAGAGTTTCCTATGTAAATTATAATGCCAGAATTAAAGCTAAACAAAATGGGTGGTTTAAATCGACAAAAATTTTTGGATTTAAAGAAAAATTAACAAATGCTGAAATAGAAGGAAGAAAATCTTTTAGAATTTATATTGGGGGAGATAATGCTAGAATTAATATAAACAAAGGATCTTTTTGGCCATTTTCTTCTTCAAAGGAATTAATGAATTTAGAACCGATTGATAAATATTTAAGAGAAAACTCTTTGCCTTCAATGGAATTAATTATTGAACAAGTAAAATTTAAATAAATATTTTTATTTTATAAATAACCACATCAAAAGATGGAAATATTTTTTGAATTTTTTACTCTCGAAAAAGATGAAATTTTGTAGATGAAATTTTTAATTTAAAAATTTCTCTTTTACTTATAGTTTCCTTCTTGTGGAATATGCGGAGAAAATAAAGAAGCGTCAGTATTCAAATTAAAAGGCTGTGATGTAATAAATAAATTAGTTTATATTTAAAAATAAATTATTAATTATTTTAGGACTATTTTCACAGAAAATGCATATTAGAATTGTATGTAATAATTTTTAAAATTTAATTACAAAAATTTTAAAATCTTTCCTTTTTTTCAATTAATTTTCTCTATTCCGGGATCCTTTTCCAAATATAAAATTAAACTTGTTAAGATTGAGAGCACAAACAACGCTTGATATTGAATGGTCTCATCAATTTGGTTCATATATTAGCGGGCATAGATGCCCAGTCTGTGATAGCCGTATCCTTATAAATATGAAGTTAGAATTTTAAAAATAATTAAAATAATTTAAAAATGAAAATAAATTTAAAGGAAAAATGATGCATTATATGATACACTATCTGCAGAAATTCGAAGAAGGCAATACAGACATGAATTAAAAATGCCTATACTTCAGGTAAAAATTTTTATTTATTTAAAAATAAATTAAATAAATAAAAAGTACAGAATTTAAGAAGTGTATAATTTAAAATAAACTAACAATAAAAACATATGAGACGGTTTGAGAAATTTTTCGGGGTTACGTTCTAAACTGATAACTATACAAAATTTAATTTATAATCATAAATATAATTGGGCCAAACATAATCTTATTAATATTCTATTTTTAAACTTTTACTAAAATTATAGAACGGAGAAAATCCTGTTTATACCTACAAATTTGATCCAACAATTACCAGACAAAAAGAATATAATAAAATAGATTGTTATAATCTTCAGGGAGGGCAATTTACTAGGTTTTTTGATTTGATAAAATTTAAATTTTTTATAAAAAATTTTCAGAACAAAAATTTATTTTCTCCCTTTGGTACCTAGAAGTCAAAGGCAATACGAATTTCATTTACGTATTTCTCCAAATATAAGAACTGTTGGCCCTAAATTATTACCAATTGTTTGGATTGTTCAATTAGATTGTTTAATTGGATGTAATAAATATTTAGATACACAAATATTGCAAACACAAAACTCTTTGGAAAATGCTGGAAAAGTTGTTTTTTATTTATTAGCTTCTCCTGTTGTTAATGGAGAAGGATATGAGGCTATAACTAATTTAAAAATTAAAATTACTTCACTTGATAAATTGGCAGGAAAATATAGAGTAAATTATATTTTTTTAATAATTTAAAGAATAGGTAATTTGTGCATATATGTATATGGGCTGAAAATATTTTTGGAGGTATTTACCCCGGGTTTTCGTTGATTTTTGGGTTTTCAGATCTTAATGAAAGAATTATGTAGTATATTAAACTATATTTTTCAGACCACCCCTAATGTCGAAAATACAAGTAGCTTTATAGTTATGTGATGTTAAAATAATAAAAACATTTTTGGTTCTATTAAGTTGCCTTAATTAAACGATTAAAATAACATTATAAAATAAAGATATAAACTAAAAATATATTTTATTTAGACATATACATGGGAAAATGTTGTGCCAGAATTTGGAAAAGAACATCATTTTCAATTTGGGCATTACGAATCAAATTCAGAATTAGGACTTTATTTGCAATTTAAATTTGATTTAAATTATTTTTCTCCTTTAATTTTGAATAAAAACGAGGTTGGTGCTCGTCCGTTAAAATATAAAGCAAAATTAATTGCGACTGGTTGGTTTTGCAACAAATATAGTTCTAAAATTTTTGGAAATATTATTGAATTGCCTGATAGTTCATTGGAAGGAGAAACTTTTCAAATACCTTTGGGAGGTACAAATGGAATTGTTCCTTTAAAAAGGAGATCTTCTTGGCCTTTTTCTCTTTTAAATTGTATTAAAGAAGATAAAGTAAATATTATTAGATATTTACAAAATAATACTTTTCCTTCAATGGAATTAATTATTGAACAGGTAAATAAATAAATATGTATGATTATTAAAAATATATTTTTAGATGCCTGTTTGTGGTATATGTGGAGAAAAGAATTATGGAGAAGTTGTTAAATTAAGCACTTGCGAGGTTATTATATTTAAAAATGTTAAAATCCAAAATTAATTATATTATGGATCGGGTCAAAAAATTGGTTGAGTTTCGGGCCAATAAAAAATTTTTTTCGTCCTAAAATGTTGGGAACGTAACTACGTCTATTTTTTTGTTTTTAATGAAAGAAGACAGAACTATTTCGGGAGATATCTAAATTTTAACTTTAATGATAAATTAAATAAAAAAATATCCTAACAAGTAAAGTTTTTTCTCTTATTCAGCATTATTTCCACACTTATTGTATCAATAATTCGTATGTTTTAAATTGAAATTAAATTATACTTTTTATTTTTATTTATTTTAAAGTGTAAAAAAATCGGGAACAAAACAAATAAATAAAAATGAAATATCTGAAGTTGTCGATATTTATATTAGTAATGAACACAGATGTTCTTTATGTTTAAGAGGATTTGCAATTGATAAAATGTAAATTTATAAAAATATTTTTAAATATTGTTATTCTTTAAGAACACAATTAGTTAATTTTGATGACCAAAAAATTCAGTATCGACAATTTCGACATTATTTAAAAATGCCAATTTTGCAGGTTAGTTTAAATTAATTTTAAATCAGTTAATTTAAATCAATCACTTTAAATCAATTTCTCTAAAAAACTTTTAGAATGGCGAGAATCCCACCTATACGTACAAAATTGGACTAGACAATAAACAAAGAAATTATAATATTGTGTCAATTTTAAATTTTGGAGATTCTGACAGGTACATATTATTTTAAAAATTAATTATGAAGTAATACTTAATTTAGTGAAAGTCCTCCAACAGTTCAAAATACAGAAATTGCTCCTTCAAAAGGGAAGAAGCCTATTGAGGCTGATATTGAAGAAATTAATATCAGAAAGACTGAGCCTTTTGGTGAAGGTTCTTCTAAGAGAGCTGAAGTTTATAATGACGAAGAGATGTCATTATATCAACAATTTCTTCGTGGTCGTGTTGAAAATGAAGGTACTTCATCGAAAAATACTAGCGGCGAACTTGGATCTATTAAAAGTCCAATTTCTCCAGGAACTTTTGAAAGAGTTTTTAAAGGAGAGGGGAATAAAGCGTTTACTACTGAAAATGAAATTGAAGAGCTTGTTGAAAAAAAGAGTAAACTTCCTAGATGGATTTCTAGATTTTTTACTAAACAAGAAAAACAGGAAGAACTTTCTGAGGAGGATAAAACAAAAAGTGAATTGATGGAGAATTTTCTCTCGAATATTCCTCTAGAAACTATTCAAAGCGAAGATGAACTAAGTGAAAACGAAGTTGTAGAGTTAAAAAGTGATGAACAAATGGATGATTTTATAAGAGAACAAACTGATAAATTGAAACAAACTAGTAGATTACTCACAATACCTGAAATTACAGAGGATGAATTGTCATCCTCTCCTTTGATCAGGAAAAGGAATAAAAACGTTGAGAAAGAACAATCATCCGAATCGGGCAACAAATCTTTTAAAAGTGCAAGTGGAGGACAACCTTCAAATAATTATATACCTCCAGATAGGAAAAGTACAACAAATTCTTCGTCGGCTTCCTTAAATTCTGGAAAGAGTACACCACCTCGATATGCTTTATCTAAAGAAGGAAGTTCGGTTCAAAGTAATTCGCCCATTGATAATGGCAGTCCTACTATATCTATTAATTCAGACAATGGATTAAGACGGAGAAATCAAAGTTCTGCCAAAAGAAGCCCTTTGGGGGGAATAACTTCTCCAAATAATCAAATTTTACAACGTTCATCATCTAGTAAGAGTGTTAATCAACCTTCACTATCAGAACAAACACTTACACATTCATCTTCTGGCAAAGAAAGTATCGATACTTTTGTTTCAGCACAAACATATTTTTCTTCTGAAAGAGGTGAAAATGTTTCATCTTCTCCTCTTCCTTCCGATTTACCTTCTTCTCATCATTCTGCTTCTCCCTCACCTCATCCATCTGTTTCTTCTTCTCCTCTTCTTCATGGAAAAGCAATCACTTCATATGCTCAAAATTGTTCAATCTCCCCTCTTTTAATTAGAAAACCTGCAGGATTACAACAATCTACAGCTTTTACTCAAATATACACTCATCCATCTCCTGCTAAAACTTCTCGATCAAAACAAAGTGATTCAACTAATTCTAGTCAAAGAATTCAATCAAAAGGAACTTTAATTAGTACCTCCTCATCTTCTCAAAAAGGACATTCAAATATTTACTTCAATACAACTGATAATTTCGAAGAAACAAAATCCTCAGATTCTTCTTCAGATTCTGACAAAAGTGTTGTGATTGAGAATAATAATGAAACAAATAAAAACACAAAACAAATTACTACAATATCAACACCCTTCTATACTCCATTAAACACTCCTTTAAATGATCCTTCAAATACTTCATTAAATCCATTAAATACTCGAGAAATTCACGAAATTGGAGAGGAAGAAATTAATCATGAAAATGAAAATATTGAGAACTCTATGGGAGAGGAAACTCCATTAATTGGCGGAAATTTGGATTATGAAAATAAAGGTGATAAAAAGAAAAAACAAAAAGGTTATTCTGCGACTGAATTAAATCTAGATTTGAAGTATGGCTTGCAGAAATTAAAAGATAAATTTACGAGGAAATTAAGCAAGAAATAAATAAAAAAAATTATTTTATTAAATAAAATTCAGCTCCTTCTTAGTATTAAGATTTCCATTAATTTTTGCTCTAAACCTAGTCTGGTAATATTCAAAACTACACTCAAAAGTGGGATACTTTAGCTATAAATTAGTAAATATTCAGAAAGAAAAAAGATTGTAAATCGGGATTTTGTATCTTTAGTTTTATATATTTCTATGATAGGCAAAATTTTATTTCCTTATAGCCAATAAGATATATGTAATTTTATGAGCTCTAATGAAACCCTTACTAATAGGAGCTGGTACATATGTAATATTATTCTTATTAAATTTAAAGCGATATTCATAAAATATTTATTTTTTCTAGGAATTTTATTATTTGATAAAATTAATCTTTTTAAAATATTTTGATTAAATTGTGAGGTAATAGTAATAAATTTAAAAAATTAGCTTCATTTCCTCGATTTTTCGTGCTGAGAACGTAGTTTTTATTTGATTTCAAGGTCAAAGTAAATCGAGAAAATTAATGATTGTATATATAAATCAATGAATAAATTAACAATGAATTAAATTTACTGAGAAAATTTAAAAAAATTTAATGAGAAATTCCAAGGTTAAACAACAATAGGAAAAATTGTCAGCGCGTGTGCGTGTTTTTACGCGCTTTTAAAAAATTGTGAAAATAAAAAATTAAGAATTATTTAAATTTATCCGAAAAATATTTTTTATTTAAAAAATGAGTAAAATTTGGAGGTTTTCTAGAGAAATGAGAAAATTTTAGATTAAAATTTCATAAATTATAAAATAAAAATATTTTAATTTAAATCAGAATTTTTTAAATTTTGATGTTTTAGATTAGGAATTTTAATTATGTAAACCTTACTAGTCTTTAAACAATTAATATTGTATGTATAATTTAATATTTTTTAAATTAAAAGGTAAATTAATATTTGAAATTGCTTTATAGAAAATTAAACATCTGCCATTAAAAATAAATAAAATTTCTTTTTTTTTCTCCCCGACTGGCACCAACTGCTTACCTATATTATACTCGTATTTAACCTTTCATACTTTTAACTAAAATAATTGTTTGTTTGAAAAACAACAAAAGAAAAGAGAAAATTTTATATTTATTTATTTAAATAATGGTCATTCATTCATTCGAGCAATAATTGTTTTTCCAGCTTTTTATGTCTTAATATTTTTTGCGCAATATTTGTCAATATTATTGTACGAATTTTTAGATTTTTTTAATTAAAAAGGCTACATAATTATTATTTTTAATCAAACAAATTATTTAAATACATATGGATTACGTATTAGTTATGTATAGAATTGTTTTTTTTTCATTATTTTTAGACAATTAACATTGCTATATACTTTTGTTTATTTCTAACTAAATATTATTCCCAATATATCGAAAGTTTCACTTAGCTATTTTCACTTAAAAACTTAATTTAAAAAGAATTTTAATTTAATTTACTTCAAAATTTAATATTAATATTTTTATTTTAAATTTTTCTTTAAAAGTTTAGAAAACTTTAACTTAAAAATAAATATACGTCACTAATGCACTCAACAAAATGAAAGGATTTTTTAGTTTATCAGTGCCAAACATGCATCATCCAGTCAATTCCATCTCTAATTCTTCCTCACAACAATTTTTCGACTTAAAACCGATTAAAGGCCCTCGAGCTCCACATCCAGTAAATCCATCCATTTCTTTCTCTACAACAAATACAAACTCTCCTTTTACTTCAAATAACTCTCTCATCTGTCTGCCAGCCCCGTCTGGCAATAATGAAAGAGAAAGAAATGAAAATAACAAAATACAACGCCCATCTAATTCCACACATCAGCAGCTGCGGGCTGACAAACTCTCTACTAATTCTTCACTCTCTGGCCAAGTAAAGAGAAAATTAAGTTAACACTTAAACGACGGAAAATTACATACGACGTTAAAGCCTGTTTGGGGTCATTTTGACCCCAATCGATTTTAGACCCTAGCTCTAGATTCGAAATTTACACCATTCAATTCCTCTCGCTGAGCTGAGTTCAAATATGTAAAAATTTTTTGCGGGGGACGAAAACTCGCAGAGATATAGGCCCCCGAAAATCGAAATACTATAAGGGGGACCAGGCACTTTTCGGGGGTGAAAAATTCGAATATGCAAATTATACCTCATTCGAAAGAGCTCTTCAAGCTGAATCGAAAGACACCAAAATCAAACCAATCTGACTTGATAGTACCGAGTTATAGGTCGGTTACTTTGATATATCTCGATCTATATCTCAGTCTATATTTTGATCGACAGGCATTTTCTTATCTAGTCAATGGTACCGTTCGACTCAGCTTGGAGAGTGGAATTGATTGATATATATTTGAATCTAGGTCTCGGATCTATAAGGCACTAACACAGCTGGGGTCAAAATGACCCCAACCGTCCAGAACGTGACTACATGGCATAAAAATTTTTACAAGATATGTATTTCTATTGTTTATTCATTTTTTAATACTAGCTATCGATATAAACAAAGTCACGAAAAGGGATGAGTGCAGTGAATATGCGAAGAGAGATATAGAGCTTAGAAATCGCTTTGGGGTCATTTTGACCCCATCCGTCGTTTAAGGGTTAAGGGGGAAAGGCATATAGGGGTATAAAAAATACAGAACAGCATGTAGGTTTAAGGAAAAATGAAAAGAATTGAGACAACAAAATTGTCAATTTGTGTTAAAATTGACTAAAAAGAAAAGTTTTCTTTTAAATTAACAATTTTTGTATATTTTTAGCAGCACAATAAAAATCCGAGGAGATATTTCCTTCAGGAATTATTCCAACAACAACAACAACCATGTACATTTGGAAATTTTTTTGATTCGGTATTTTCTTTTCTAAAATCCCTCTTATAATTATTTTTTAAAGTTAAAACAAACAACATTAATGGCTTGTTGTTTTTGTTGTTGCCCAATATTTCGTTGTGTTTTGTGGTTTTGCGTTTTTGAATTAATTTGCACAATTTATTGTTGGTATTGTGAATTAAATAATTTATTTAGAATGCACACAAATATGTAAAAAATAAAAATTAAAATAATTTTTAATTAATTAATTTTAAGAGAATTAAATAATATTATTATTCTTTTAATTATTTCTGGTTGGTTAATTACTTTAATTGTTTCGACTGTCTCTATTTGTTTAGCAAAATATAAAGACGATGCACAATGGATTTTGCCTAGATTGGTTTATTTTTTTTAATTTTTAAATTATCTTTGTTAAATAATGAGGATCAGAGGTATAGGGGATGTTCATATTTTTATATTTTCTCGATTTTGTCTTGTCTCGAGGAGAATATCCATTTTTATGGTTTATTCAGTATGAAAATGCCTTAGGATAATTCATGCATAAAGTTTGAATTTTTACAATTTTTATTTTGAGTAGGATTTAATAAATATAAGTACTTCCAATTAATATACTTCCAATTATATACCTCTATTTATCTACATTTCCGTGTAAAAATTTTTTTTACTTATGAGTGAGTGTCCATAATTGAAGTTATCACTTAATGAATTTAAAAAATGTGTCATAAATAGTGGGTTTCGTAAAGTTTTTTCCGGCCTGTATGTTTTCAAAATCCAAATTGTTTAACAATATTTATACCCAATTACTAATTAAATATTTCAAATTAAATAATTTTAAAGGTTCAACAAACAGGTCTTTTAATTTTTGGATTTTTAATTGCCCTTCTTTTGGTTATTTACTTTTCTGGAGCATCTCAAACAATAAATAATATTTTAATTTCAATTTATGAAGTAATTATTTTTTAACATTTTTAAAAGTTTTTTTTAAATTTAGAATCTTTATTCTGAAAATATTTCAATTGAAGAAAGACAAGGAATTCATGAGGATTTAAGATTTTATTTTCTTATTTTAATCCCTTTGACTTTCTTTTTTATTTGTTATATTGCTACAGCATTGTGTGCAACAAAAAAATATTATAGAGAAATGCTGTTTAGAAATCGTCCCTTTCAGGCAATTTTTAAATTAAAATATAAAAATTTAATCAAAACATCCCCATAACTACGAGAAGGTCTTGCAAAATCCTGTGATGTATTATTCCCAAAATCCTTCATTGAAATATTAATTTAAACATTCTTTTAATTTTCAACTAGTCCGGAGAGAGTTTTAGTGAACAGCCCCCTCTTATATTCTATTTAGCTACATAAAAGGACTTCTTTAAAATCTTTTCTTTTTAGCCAGTTACTCAAAATGATCCAAGTGCACCACCTCCACAACCTCCAGTCAATCCTTATTTTAAAGAATCGTTTACCTAAATATAAATTTAATTAAGCCAATAAATCTCTTTTAATTTTTACATTCCTTTTTTATTTTAATTGAAAGCTTTATATTTTTTTATATTTCTTTAAAAACAATTTTTATTATTTTTTTTGAATGAATAAATGTTATAATAAATGTTACATCTAATTTGAAGACTTGTTTTTAGATAAAAATTTTCTAATAAAAATAATTGGTTAAATTAAGCTTGTCAAAAACAAAGGTCAAAAATTATTTTTACAATACAAAGAATACAAAAATCAAAAAAATAATATATGTATGTACAAAATCCTGGAGCAGAGAAGAAAGAATACAAAGAATACAAAAATCCTGGAGCAAGATCTTGTCACGAAACAGATTTTTCTGAATTAATTTTTAACTTTCATTAAATTTAAAAATTCGGAATTACATAATATAATAATTACTTTAAATATTATTTTATTAATTAAATTATCTAAATAAAATATTGAATCGTTTATTGAATTTCAACACGGATTTTTAGTAATCACGCCAGGACAACGGTCATAACAAAACATAACCGTACATAAACGTTTTGCACGTAAACGAACGTTTGGATCTCTAAATAAATAAAAAAGAATATTTAATTGTTTTTAACTTACAAAACTTCAACTTCAGCCAATTCAGCATTGTTTTCAGTTAGAAAAGCTTCATAAAATAAAAAGAATTGAATTAAAACAAAAAATTGGAAAATAATAAATTTATTCATTTTTTTAATTTTAAAAAATATTTTTGAAAACAATTTTGTTAAGGAAAAATAAATATATCTTTAAATACTCCAAAAATTAATTCACTAAAATATTCTTTTACGAATATATTTTATTTAAATTATTTTGTTTATTAATTTCCTCCAAAGTACTAATTGTTTAAATTGTGAAGAATTCTTCAAATATTTTTTAATTAATTAATTAGTGATTTATTATTTTCAAATGATTACTAATATTTTTAATTAAAAAAACAACATTTTTGTTTCTATTTAAATGAACAAACTTTAAAATAAATTAAAAATAAAACTTTAAAATAATGCTTTCCAACTCTTTTAGTATTTTAATTATTTTAATATTTTTATTATTTAAAAACATATTTTCAATTCCAGGTAATTTTAAAATAAATAAATAAATTTATTTTTAAATTAAAGTTTATATCGAAACACCTAATGAGGATTTGCATAGATTTGTCCGGACAGTAATTTGTTGCTATGGATGTTGCGATAAAGATCCGTGGCCTGGAAAATAATTGAAAGGGAATTTTGGATTGAAAAGAATTAATTTTAGAAATTAATTTTTAATTAAAAAAAGATTAAATTATTAATTTCATAATTAACGAGAATAAATAAAAAGTGCTTTTTTGGTTACTGTATAGAAGCAGAAATGACGTAAAAAAGCTTATTGTAGCACTTTTAAATATTTTTGTTTGATGTAATTTACAAAAATAAATTGTCTAAATTTTGTTTTTATCTTTTCTTGTTTAATCTTTAATTAATTTTATATCTTTTTTATTTGACAGGGATTACAGTAATTAATTGAAATGTCTGTTAAATGGGGAGAGGGGGGGGGATATTTAAATTGAGGAAATAATTAAATAATTAAATTAAATAAATAATTCCCTAAATTTAATTAATTATTAATTTAAATTAAAATTTCTTTAAAATTAAATTTCTTTTAAATTACCTAAAAATTAATTCTTTAAACAAAAAATGTATTCGATTACAATAATTTTTATTTTTGTTTTGTTTATCGTCTTTGTTGATTGTGGAATATTTCCAGCTTTACAAACAAAAAATTATTTGGGTATTTTTATCAAATTCCCCTTCCAACAAATTTATTTTTATTTTTAGCCCCACAATTAAAAACATCCATCCTCAACAACAACAACAACAACAATCCCCACTCCTTTCCCTTCCCTTCTTTAAAAACAAAAAATAGCCCTCCAAAAATATTTTCTTTAAAAATAAATTCATCAGAAACAAAAAATAAATTCAAAAATTTAAATAAATTTCCTTCAATTTTTCCAAAAAATTTTAAAAAATCAAAAATTTCTTCTTCTTGTTGGAATAATAATAATTACCCTACAGAAGAAGGAGGAGAAGACAAAGAAGACTATCCCTCCCATTCATTATTTAATAAATCTAATAAAATAGCCAAAATACTTGTTTGGGAATTTCAACTTTATAAATTAAATGAGAAATTGGAGGGAACAAATGATTGGGGACAACAATTAAATAAAGAAGAAAGAGCTAATGTTATTTTAATTTCTGAATTGTTTAGTTGGTTAACATTAAAAGAACATTTAAATGTTAATTTAAAAAAAGCTGTTGGATTATTAATTGCTTTGAGGGAAAGTGACAGAATTTTACAGAATGCCAATTTTCTTTGTAGTGTTTTTAATTATTTAAAAAGAATTGAGGGGGAAAAAGAAGAAGAAGAAAAAGAATTACTTAATCGGTGGACTTTGGATGAATTAAAAATTAATTTTTGGAATGTTTTGGAAATTGAGGAGGTTTTTATTGAATTTATGTATTTAGAGGGAGATATTTTAATTGAATTTCCCGGAAATACATAATGTATTCTAAGTAGCTCTGACGTTTATATGTAGGAAGAAAAGCTTTTAGAGTTTAGACTAATTTAAATTCATCTTCCCTCACGAATTTTACTTGTAAAGTCCCCTCACTTAGATTTATGTCATTCCACTAAAAAATTTATTCAGATTTTTTAAAATTTAAAAATTAAAGGAAAATGAAGACATTTTGTTAAAAACTTCCAAAGTTTTAAATTTGCTCAGTTCTGGAGATGAACTTATTCAATTATTTGAAATTGCAGTTTTATGTTTCTCTGATAAAGAAAATGGAAGAGAATATATAAATAAATTAATTGACCGAATAAATATTGCAAAACAATGTAAATTAAATTAATTAAAAAGAGAAAAAATTTATTTATTTTTTTTGTAGGGACTAAAATTGTTGGAAAATTCCTTAAAAAAGTAAACAATTTTAAAGGATGGAATAATTCTGATATTCGATTGGAACAATTCAAAATAGATCCAATTTTAATTGAAAGTTGTTGTGAAGAAGAAGAAGAGGAAAATAAATAGAATAAATTAAAATCTTTCTTCACTATTTTTACTTTATTTTGTCTAAAATAAATTAAAATTATCGAAATTTTTTTTGATAACTAAGGATTAGGATTAAGAAACATTTTCTTACAATTACGACGTATTAAATTTTGAATAAAATAACAAAATTACTTGTAGTATTATTTTATGATTTATTTTTGAAGACTACAAACTTTTAAGACTGAAAACAAGTTCAAAAAAGCAGTTCCTCACTTTCTTTTTGTTTAGTGCCGAAAGAAGCTCATTGTGTTCGGAAAATTCTTTTACAAAAATTACAGAAAACTATATAATTTACTCCAAAATCATTTTAAACAAATTTAAAAAGTGCATTCTTTAATATAAAAATTTATTTCTAAATAATTCTTAATTAAAGAAATTATTCGAAATCCTTCGAAAATCTTTCAAAATAATTATCATAAGTGCATATAAAGTACATATGTATAAACATTTCAATGGAAAAGTGCATCTTTATGTAATATTTTGCACTTTTTAATTAGTTAATTACTCAAGATGATGAAAAAAATATTTTTAATTAAATCATTGTCTGAATATTTAAATATTTAAAAGGAGCTGACTGTGTTATGAAAATTATAAATAAAGTAAAAATTTAAATAAAAAATATATTTAATTAATTAATTAATTAATTAAAATGTTATATTCTTTAATTATTGGAAGTATTATTTTAATTTTGTTGACTTTTTGTGATTCAACAAAAATAAACCCAACAATTTTGTGTTATCGTAATTCTCCAAGTATGTTTACTTTTTTTAATAAAAAACTCGGATATTCGTCTAATAAATTAGTCATTAAAGCATTTCCCTTATTCAAAAATTTATTTTTCTCAAAAGTCCTTTCTTAATTAAATTCCAAAATTAATTCTCAATTAAAAATTTAAGTGATTAACTCTTCTTTATTTTCGTCAAAAAATCCAAAAATTTCTTTTAATTTGAATAAACGTTTGGAAGAATTAAATATGGCAAATAATAATAAAAATATTTATAAAAAAGGGAAAGTTTATTCTTCCAATCCTTTTTCTAAAATAATTGAAATGACAAAAGGAAAAGATGAAATTGAAAAGGAGAAGTCAACACAGGTAGGAAGGAACGGAGATTAATTTATATTTTAATCAAAAGCAAAAATTTAATTTTTATAATTAATTAGGAACAAAAGGATTTGGTTAATTCCTTGACAATTGAATTAGACAAAATATTATATAAAAATTTTGAAAAAGAAGAAGAGAATGATGATGAAAAAGAAGAAGAGAAAAATAATATTGAGGAAGTGAAGAATGTTGAAAATAAATTGGAAGCATCACTACCAAAAGGGTTAAAATTAAATGATTTGGAAAATATTAAAATGATTGCTAAATTTATGAATAAATTAACTCTTTCTGAACAGCGAAAAGTTAACTTTCCCAAAGCAATAGAACTTTTAGTTGCTTTACATGAAAGTGATAGAATTATTGAGAATAAAAATAAAATGTGTGATAATAAAAATTTAATTTATTTGAAAAAAGATGGAGGGCAAATAGAGGAAATTGAGGAATATTTGCGTGATATTGTTAATATTAAAAAGGCAAAATTTTTATAAATTTAAGGAAGGTGTTATTTAATTAGTCTTCCTCATTTCTCTCGGTAATTCAACGGTGGACGAGGGAAATTCCTTCAGCTGTTTCTACTTCGCTTCCCAAATACATAAATTTAATAGATATAACTTATCCGCTGTGAAGATCACAACGGATTAGGTTACCAATATAAATACATGGTCAAAACATTATGAACAACAAATCTTTTATGTCTGAGAGATATTTAAACTCATTTCCAACTCTGAAATTTAAACAATTATTTTTTTTAATTAGGAAGACGGCAAAAAAGAACTTTTTGTAAATGCATTAAATTCTCTAGAAATAATTGAATCGGGATATCCAACAATTAAATTCTTTGAATTTTTAATAGCGGCTTTACCCCATCTTGTTACTGATGAAAAAATAATTGTGGAAAATATGAAGGAAACGTTGGAGGATGCTAAAAAATGTAATTATTATTTAATATTTTATAAAAACAAAATTGGTTAACATTGAAAAATAATATACCTAGTTAGACCACCATTTAGGGGTTTTATTCGTGCCAATGATCTTCAAAATATTTTGAGGAAAATAGCCTTATATTTCCTAAAAAATCCTGTTTATGTATAACAAAAAATTGAAAATTGTTGAATAAATGAAGAAATTTTTTTCAATTTTAGGGATAAAGATTAGTATAGAATATATGAGTCAAAAGATGATTGAATAAAAGAAAGATTAAATAAGAACAAAATAAAAGAATTAAAAAAAAAGGATGTTGTTTGTGAAATTAAAGTTAAAAATTTTAAACAATTGATTTTAATTAATTTATTTCAAAAAATTTAAATATTATTAGAAAATAAATGTAAATTTAATTTAGTATACTAATTTAATTTAGAAAGAACAAAATTTTTGTTTTTGTTGATCCTTGTTTTTATTAGTAGGATTTAAATTTTGTAAATTAAACGAGTCAATTTTTTTCAAAATCTAAAGTTGGAAATTTCCTTAGAAAAGTAGACAATTTTAGGGAATTAAATAATTATATCCGTCTTAAATTTAAAATTGTTGTGAAGAGGATTAATTAAATTTAAAAAATATATTAAATAATATTTAAAATGGAATAAATTAATTTGTTATCAAAAATTTATTATTTTTGGCAATTTAAAGACAAAAACTTTTCTGAAAGAAACCTTTGTGAAGCATTGTTGCTTTTAATCCTTGAGCAATAAAGCCTTAATCAACTCTAACTCACATATTAATTAACAGAGCAATGCACTCCTTCAATCCTCTTATCTATTTCTATTAATAATACAAAATCTATCAAATTTAATTATTGAATCCTTAATTTAAATATTTAATTTCTAATCTACTTAAACCTATTTTTATTTAAAAATTTAATTAATCATCATTTCCGTTGTTTTAGCTATTTATCGTTTTTATGTTTTCATTAAATATTTTTAACAAAAATGAAAAGCAAAATTTTTTTTTGTTTTTGTAAATATAATCAAATACATATTTAATTTAATGTTAAAAGTGTTAGAATAAATTTAACCGCTCCTGTGATTTATTTTTATTTTTTTTAGCAAACCATATAAAAAAAGTGAATCACCATTAATATGATAAAAATCTATCAGATTTTTCAAATTTTATATAAAACTGTTCATTTTCTATTAAAATTTTCATTTTTTCAATTAAAAACATTTATTTTTTAACCAACAAAAATGAATTTTAAATTATTTTCTTTAACAATTTTAAGGTTTGTTTTGAAAGTTTTTTGATTTTCTTTGAAAATAAAATTTGTATTTTTAAGTCTTCTTTTCCTCTTGTTTGATAAAGGTTCCGGAAAGATTCGTTTGCGAGCTAGTAGAGTAGAATTGGAAGAAATAAATAATGAAGAATTGCCAACATCAACGGAAATGCCAACAGATGACCAAAATAATGCCACAGACTTGCCAACAGTAACTTATGAACAACCATTGGAAACAACGACTGCCAGTAACTATATCCGTACTCGTAAAGGATTTGCGAGAGCAATAAACAGATGGAATGAATATGAAGAAGAGGAAGAGGTAAATCATCAAAATATCATCAAATTAATTTTTGACTTAATTATCTTTTTATTTAATTATTCCCTTTTTGAAAGAATAATTAATTGAAAATAAAATTTATAAATTATTATTATTTAAGTATGAGAAGGAAGAGAATGATGGCAGTCCTTTTGTTAAATTTTCTGAAGGAAATGATTCTGTAAAAGTTCGAGAAGCGAGAGAAGCAATTGAAATAAATGAAACAACAGAAAACCCGCAAACAATTGATGAACTATCTACTGCCAATGATTTGTCAACAACTACTGAAAATAATGAAGCGCGTGAGGTGGAGGATGAGGAGGAGAAAAAGGAGGAGGGAGAAGAGGATGATGATGAACAGGAACAGGCACATTTATGTTTAAAATTTTTTTTAATTTTAAATAATAAAAGGGCGAAGAGAACCCAAATCCTCCGGAAAAAGAAAAAAATGAAACAAAATATGTAAGCAATTTTGATGGAGAAAAGTGTTTTATAACAACATCTGATAAGGAATCAGAAATATTTGATGAAATTTATGCAGTAAAGGGTGATGTATGTTAATTTTTTGAATATAAAGAGGAGATATAAAGGGGAGAATATTAAAATATTTATTATATGTAGGTGATTTATAATGAGAAACAATCAGAAGGAATTGGCCTTTCAACTTTGGAAAAACTTTCTAATTTTAAATGTGGAATTAAAAACTATGAGTGAATTTTAAAAAAAAATAATTTTTATTCAATTTTTATTTTAGTCAATATTCTTACTGTGCCAAAGTTAAATTATTTGGTAAACTTGAATTGAAAGATATACGTGAGGGAAAACAATTGGAGCCTAACAATCCAAAAAATATTACCCAATATAAAGAACATTCTTTGCAAGGTCTTTAAAAAGTTTTAAATAATTTAACTTCAAAAAATTCTTTCCAGACACTGCCCTTGTTTTGATTGAAGGTTGTTTTACTTGTGAAAACTTAGACAAAGGCCCAATCAACATAACATTTTGGCAGATAAACGAAGCGGTAAAAAATTTATTTTTTGAAATTTCTTTTATTAAATGTTAGTTTATTTTTATTGTTAGTTATCTTTTATTAAATTGTAGGGACCAATAAAGGATGCATGTCCAGAAGAAGAAAAACTCATCAGGTAGAAATAATATATATTTTTAAATTATTTTCTATTTAAATTTAAGCCATTATATTCTTGACTATGAAAAATATAATGGTGGTTTTATTGTTGGTGGCATATTGCATGAACGGTAATTAAAAGTTTAAATTATGAAATATTTTTGTAACAAATTGTTTTAGTCTCTGTCCAGCACGAGAAACCCTTGAGGATAAAATTGAACTTGCATCGCTTAAGTAAATTAAATAAATAAATTTTTAATTCTTTAAAAATTAAATAGATATAAGCACAATTTCAAAATTGTTATCGAACACAGCTGTGCAGGAAATAAAGAAACGGTAATGAATTTTCTGGGTTATCTGTAATAAATGGGATACCTGTCAATTAATTGATGCCCAAAAATAAATTTAAACTCGAAAAAATATTCAAAAATTTCATTTGTTGTGAGGGCAAGACCGGAATTCTTTATGATAACCTAGGGTATTTTCTTTTCCTTTCAGCCTTAATTTTTTAAATATTCCAGTTAGGATAACATAATTTATTTTAAAATTTCAGTATGTTTCCAAATTTGCAAAGGCTATTGATTTTGAAAATTTGAAGGAACATATTTTTGAAGTAAATTTCTTTAAATTTTAAATAATTCTTTTAAATTTAAGCTTCGCGATTTGAATATTAATTTAAATCAAAATGAGGAGACATTCGATTGGGATTGGAATGATAAAAAGGAAGGTTTAGGCTATACTTATTTTGCTGCCAAGGAATTTAAACTTTCAAATGATTCTGAAATTGCTCAAGTAATTAATAGTTTTATAAAGTTTTATGGCTCTTTTCCCCGTTCTTTGATAGTTTTACATTTGGAGTGGGTCCTACTTTCATTATTTGTGTATTTCCTTTCTTTGGGTTAAATCCAGATTTACAGTGGCGGAAATTTACTTAGGGAAAAGGTAAACTCCATGTAATTCCGTTCATTTTTATCCGATCTGGCAGATCTAAATTTTAAAAAATAGCTTAATTCCTATCTCAGTTGACATGTTTCAGCGTTTTTCAAAATTCTGATAATTTCGAAAACTTTTCGACCGGTCTAACAGGTACTACATTTTCGACTTTTCGGAGAAATTTTTTTGAAGTCTGTAAATTTTATATGTGATTCTCCCAAAGATTCTGAATACAATGCTAAAAACCGCATCCAAATCGGTCGAAATTCTACAGAGTTATGAATTTTTGAAAATCGAAAAAACAATAAGTAAATTAATTTTAAGGGCGAGGAAGTTATGCATTCGGAGTATATTACAGACGAGAATGAAGAAGATGACGATGAGCATAATGATGAAGAGGAAAATGATCATGATGAAGAGAAACACGGAGAAAAAGATAATCATGATGAAGAGAAACATAGAGAAGTGATAAATGAAGAGAAGGAGGAAAACGAGAAAAAGAAAAATTATGAGGAGGAAAAAATGAAGAAATTACATGAGGAACTCGAAGTTGTTGCGGCAGAAGTAAAAGAAGAGGATAAGAATATGCTGAAGGAAGAGGAATTGGAAGTGCAAGAGAAGAAAAACGAGAGTTTGGCTGCTCCAGAACAATTTAAAGAGAATTTGGAAGCTTTAAATTCAACTAATGAAGAGAAGGAAACGAACGAAACGATTAATTATCAAAGCGAACAAATAACTAAAGAAGAAATTAAGGGTGAAGAGAAAAATCTTGAAAAAAGTGATCAGATTACCCAAGAAGAAGAAATTAAGGGTGAAGAGAAAAATCTTGAAAAAAGTGATCAGATTACCCAAGAAGAAGAAATTAAGGGTGAAGAGAAAAATCTTGAAAAAAGTGATCAGATTACCCAAGAAGAAGAAATAAATGAAGATAAGAAAGAGAAGGAAGAAGAGAAAAATGAGGAAAATGAGAAGAAAGAAGAGGATAAGGATGAAAAAGGAAAAGTTGAGGAAAAGCAAAAGGTTGATGAGGTAAAGAAGGAATGAATTTATAAATGTTTAATTTTTGAAAAAATTATTTATTTGTTTATTTTGCTTTGCCCGTTTATTTTTTTTATTTTCAATTAATTTTTTACATAATAAATATTATTTAATCGTTTATGTATTGTTTTATAACAAATATTTATAACATCTAATTTTTGAGAGGTTATGGACAAGAGAATTCTTTAAAATAACAAAAAAAAGCTGGGACTTAATTTTCTGATCTAAAAATTATTGAAAAAGTAATATGCCCAATCTTTGCATATTTTGAATTAAAAGATATAATAAAATTTTTGATAATCTGATAAATTTTTAAAAAATTTAAAAAAGAAATTTATTATTCGAGAAATAGAAATACATAATCTTATTTTAATAAAAATATTGAAATTTATAAGGTGATACTTCTAAATTAAATAATTTTATTTCCCATATAAAAATTTACAGTAAATGACAGTGAAGTATGACTTCCGTTTTGTGAAAATAATTAGTAAGACTTCACTTACATATATGAACACCCTTCGTGTATGAAAAATCCGACGTTAACGTGAAACTGTTTTACTAAAGGGATGTCGTTTAAATATTTGTGGACATAAAGCTTAAATTATTTAAAATGAATCATCATTTATACAACATTTAAATAAATAAAATATTAATTTTACATTCATTTAATATATTTAATACTTTCTAAAATAACAAAATGGATAAAAAATTTATTTTGACAATTTTAAGGTTTATAAAATTAATTTTTAAAATAAATTAAAAAAAATATTTTTAAGTTTTTTTCCATTATTGTTGGTTAAAGGTTATGAAAATTTTAATATCACAACTAAAGGACAAGAATCTGAACAAACAACTGTAAAGTATGATGAAAATTCTACATTACCAAAAGAGTTGGCAAAAATAACTGTTACAGTAAATATATTTAGTATTTATTTTTTAACTTTAAAAATAAACAGCAAGAAGAAAGTCCAAATAATAAATCATTACAAAAAAATGAAGAGGAGATTCAGGCTGAGGAAAGTGATAATATTCCAAAAAGAGATGTTTACCTTGAAGAAAATGAATGTATGGTTGTACCAGAGGGAGACGCAAATTTTAAAGCTTCAAACAATGGTAAATCAATCTATGCAGTGAATGGAAAGGTAATTAAAATGGCAATTAAATCCCTTTTAAATAATTTTCGGATTAGAATTCATAATTGACTTTTTAATTGTTTTATATGATCTGTCCTTTATTTTTATATCTTACATATGTCTTATTCGTGCGTAAGATAATCCAAAATAATAAATATAGAGTCTATTAATTTAAAAAAAAATATATATTTCTTTATAGATTATTGTTAATGAGGGAATAACTGACGAATTTGGAATTAAAAATTTGGAAAATTTGGCTGAAGTAAAGTGTGGTGTTGACAATTATGAGTTTATATTGAATATTATTAAGAATTTTTAAATATTTTAAACTAAATTTTAGGCAATTTTCTTATTGTGCCAAAGTTAAATTTTTTAATTCTGATGAGAAGAAAACTTTCAATAAAGAATTGTTTAAACCAAACAATCCTACGAATATTAATGAATATCTCAAGAATTATATGCAAGGTAATGTTTAAATTAAAGAGGGGAACAAAAGTTATTAGATATGGTAGGTAAAATATATCTAGATAATTAAGAACTTTTTAGGGGAAAAATAAGAAATTTTAAAATTAAAATAATTCTCCAACTCTAGTTTTTAATAAAAATTTAATTTAAAAAATCCTCAGATTTTGCTCTCGTTTTGATTGAAGGCTGTGTTTTATGCAAGAACAAAACTAAACCAATTAACATATTATTTTATCAATTACATAAAGAAGTAATTAAAATTGTTAGTTTTTTAGATTATTTTAACGTTTATAGGGGCCAATTAAGCCTGTTTGTGCAGATGGTCAAGTAACAATGATTAGGTTAAAATAATTATTATTAGTAAAGTAAATATATCTCTTCTTTTAAAGTAATTTTACTTTTAATTTAAATAATTATAAAAATGGTGGATTTATTACTGGTGGAATTTTAAATGAGCGGTTAATATTTAAATAAAAATTTTAAATAAATGATATTAAAGTCTTTGTCCTACACGAAAAACAATAAATGATGAAATTCAATTTGTACCGCTCAGGTTAATTAAAATTATTCAGAGATAAAATTTTTAAATAAATTCATGTATGTATTTTATACGTATAAATCAAATATGCCTCAAAATAATTTAAAAATTTATCCAAAATTATATCCTCAACTAATTCCGATTGTTTAAAATTTTTAAAGGAAAATATCAAAATTTTTAATTTTTTTTGGAATATTTGTATTCTCGAATTTATATTCTTGAATCATTAAATATATTTAGCTATACCCACAAGTTCAGCATTATTGTTGAGCATAGCTGTAATGGACTGTCAAATACGGTAATATTTTTAATTCAATTTTCGGAAAAATTTATTTTACTTTTAAGCGTAAAATTTATTTTGAAAAAGAGATTGACTTTAAAAATGTGGAAAATCATGTTTTTGAGGTAATATTTTAAAATCCTTTTAAAAATTATTTTTTAATTTTGTAGTTACGTGGATTATTAATTAATTTAACTAATGACAAACAAGACATGGAAGAAATATTTGATTGGGATTGGGAAAATAAAAATGAAGGTTTAGGGTATAATTACTACACTGCTTTATCTCCGGCAGAATTAAAGAAGTTGAAAAAAGAAAAAGAATTCAATAAACCTAATCTAACAGTTACATATGTAAATAATATTTAAATAAATAGGGGATATACATACTAATTCTTTTTAATTCCCTATATTATCAATCCCCAAAAGTTTCTGTTATTCCTCTTTTCGTTGCTCTAAAATCCCCGAAAGAATTTTGTTAAATAAAATTAAAAAGTCCAATTTAAGTTAGAAGGAATGGAGGAACATTTATCTGAAAATAATGAAGAAGAAAATATGGAAAATAAAGAAGTTTTTAACAAAATTAAAAATAAAATGATTGAGGATAATATGGAAGAAGAAAATGAGGAGAAGGATGGAGAGAATATTAAACTGGAAGAAAGTACTACAATGAAAACGGTCACTGAAGAGAAAAAGAAAGGGGAAGAATTTAATGAGGAGTGAAAAATGGAAGTTTAATAAATTTATTTTTATAATTTTTTTGTCAAAATTTTTAAAATAATTTATGTATGTAATCAAAAATTTGATAATCCAAAATTTTGTGACATTCCTAAAATAATATATAATTTTCTTATAATTGGCTCGAGTTTAGTAAAATTGGTTACTGAAATTATTAAATTGAAATGTTTGTTTTATATAACTACAAAGAGTATCGGTAATTATTTGAACTGTGAACGATGTCATAATATACCCAATTACAGCAAAAAAGTTAATTAAACATTTATATAATGAAATTTATTTTATTATAAATTTAAAGAATTACATCTTTATTTTTATCAAAACAATTCTTTTTACTATTTGAATTACTTCTTTTAATGCTAACACTTCTTCTTTTAATTCCCACAATTTGTATTTTTGTTGATTGCTTCTTTTCTATTGTTTGTCGAAGAATTAAAGGAAGGCAATGAATACATTTAATAAATATTTCGTTAAATTCAGAACGAAAATTTGTATTTAAAAATCCATAAAGGAAAGGATTTACACAAATTGATAAAATTGAAATCTTTAAAATGAATGAAAAATAGATAAGAAACTATTAATTTTGTAATTACTAATTTACATGCTTGATCAACTCTTTCCATTGTTGGGGAACCTCCTTCCTATAATTTTTTAAACATTAATTTTAAAAATATGGATGGAGATTTGAGTATTTATTTCCGAAATCAAAAATCAGAGAGGAGTAGGATTTTAAGGATGATATTTAAAAACTTCTTCTTCACCTTCTGCAACCTATAAAAAATTATTGGGGATTTGGGGATATCTTTACTAAATGTTCTGATAAATTTTTTTTCTTATAAATAATTTACCATTAAATCAAGATCAATCAGAACAGATATTAAAGTAAATGGGAACCACAAAAATGCATAAGACCCAGCCATGGCAATCAAAAGAGATGTTGTTTTATTTCTTCTTTTCTGTTGATTGTTAATTAAAGCCCCTCCAGAACTCTTTCTTAAATTATTTGTTATGGAAGAAGCAACTGCTACTCCAGACACAAGACTGCCAGACTAAAAAATTATTTAAAAAATTGTTTAAAAACTTCTTCAAAACTACCCACTTTTGTACTATTTACCCCTTTAAGTTGACCATCTGAATTTTCCATAAGTTTTTCTGCACAACTTAAAGACTCATTATCTGATGTTCGACGATCCATCTTTTTTTAAAATTTATTTAAATATTTACATATTTTTAATTAAAAACCTTTTCAACTCTATTTTGTTGTGTTGCAGAGACAGACATTTTAGGTAAACGATTATTCATATTTTTTGAATTCTTTTCCAAAAATCGTGTTAATTTAAGATTAAAAATTAAGAGAACAACGAGAGGAACAGCGTAAAGCATCAATGCTTGCATTAATGACATTCCTAACTAAAAAATAGAATTTTAACAAAAAAATAACTATTTTAAAATTTAATTCTGCGATGAAAAAGGATATTTTCAGTGATTGAGGAAAGGATTTCTTTTAATTGTTAATTTTTTAAAGATTTTATTTTAAAAAATTAGGCTGTAGAAATCAGAAAATCAACAACAATTAACTTGCCTGGACCATCCTTTCATTAACTATCCCCTCATCATAATGAATAAAAGTTCCGTGTCCCCCAACAGTATCACTCGTAGTTGTTAAACGGCATTGTCTCCAACCATAACTTTTTAATTCTACAAGAGTTGAATTTCCTTCTGGTTTTGAATTTTCCTCTTTTAATACATAAACATCCTATAGAGGTAAATATTTTTTAATAAGTACTTTAATTAATTACTTTAAATACATAAAGCATGTTGATTTGATAATAAATGAGTAAAGGGAACGAAAGTAGAAGAGAAAGAACCTAAAATAAAATTAAAATTTTAATTAGTAAAATGAAAATATATTTTTGAGATAAAAAAAATTTAGTTTAATTTAAAAATAAATTCAAACCCAAATAAGGACGGAGATTAAGAGTGCCCGAACACAATTTCCTGATCTACTTGAAGGGCCGGCAACTTTAATTGAACGTACAGAATAATAACGATCTATGGCCATTACCTTAAATAAATAAATATTTAATTAAAAAATAATTTTTTTTTCTTCTCAATCAAACTATTTCCGGTTAACAAATTAATGAATTATTTTAAAAAAATCAGCTTTATCTGTTAGTTAAATCAATTTAGTTAATTTTTTTCAGAAAATATTTATATTATTAAATTAATTTTGTAACAGAAATTAAATGATAGAAAAATGACAGAAAAAGGAATTTTGAACGTTTAAATTTTTATAAGCTTAAAGAGATGAATCATTAAAAATAACAGAAAAAAATAATTTAAACTAATTATTTAATATAAAACTGTCTAATCCCTTTTAAAATTTTCATTTTTAGTATCAAATATTATTTTTTAATTAACGATGAACAAAAAGTTGTTTTTCCTAACAACTTTAAGGTTTGCTTTTAAATTAATTTAAAAAAACAAAGAAAATTTTGATTATTTTAGTATTTTTGTCTTTTTGTTTGATAAAGTCTCAGCAAAGGTTCCTTTGCGGGCTAAAAGGGGAGAGGAATTTGAACCAACAAACAACGAAACTCTGCCAACATCGACGACTGAGGAGGAAAATTCTGCCAACAACACAATGACTACTGAAGGAAATATTGAAGGAAATGAGGATGAAAATGGAAAGGAAAAGGCAAAATTTTTTTTAAGTTTTTAATTATTTTAGAAACAATTCTTAAATTTTCATTTAATTATTAAAAATTTGAGAGCGAGGATGATCTAGGCAAAGAAGATTTACCACATTATTCGCATTCAACGGACCCAACAACTACTTCTTTGGCTGACTATTATGGTGAAAATATGCATGCTGAAGAGACTCCAGACGAAAATGATAATAAAAATATGACTAGTAACAGTGATGGTGAAAATAAAATTAATAAAACTGTTGATTTTGATGGAGAAAATTGCGTCTTAGCCGAGGGGAAAGGAATAGCTTTCAAAACAAAAAATGGTGAATTAGAATATGCAACTAATGGATCGGTAAAATAAAATATTTATACCTCCATTTTGGTTACTATTTTTCTTTTGGATAAGGCTAAATAGGAACTGAAAATATAAACAGAATATAGGGATGTTTACAAAAAATTATTAATTAATTTTAAAAATATTTAAATAATTTAAAGATAAAGGTTAGAGAAACCAAAGATAAAGAAATTATCAACTTTTCAATGGTAAATATTGAAAATTTGTCCACTAAAAGATGCGGTATCGGAAATTATGAGTAAGTCTAAAAAAAGCTTCAAATAAATTCTACAAAAATTTCTTGTTAAAGGCAATTCTCCTATTGTGCCCGATTAAAATTTTTTGGTTCTAAAGGAATTGATATCGTCAAAAACAGTACGTTATTTGAAAGGAACGACCCAAAAAGTATTTCAGAATATAAAAAGAATTATATGCAAGGTTGAAAAAAATGAAATATTTAAAGAAATTTTCCTTAAAAAATTAGATATGGCCCTTGTAATGATTGAAGGTTGTGTAATTTGTGGAAATTCAAGTAATCAGCCAATCACTTTAAAATTCATTCAATTACATCCAAAAGTAATGAATTTTTGAAAAATAGCTAAAGTAAATAATTCTTTCACAAAAATTTTTAATTAAGGGACCGATTGAAAATGTTTGCCCAGAAATTAATGAAAATATCAGGTTGGAGAGTATATAAAAATAAAAATTAATTTAAATAGACAATAATTTTAAGCACACTTGACCTCGACTTGACAAAATATGATAATGGCTTTATTGTTGGCGGTATAGTTAGCGAACGGTGGGAAAAATTAGAAATATTTTATTATTATTTCTTTAAAGTCTCTGTCCTTCGCGTAAATCTCTCGAAGATGAAATTGAAATTGCGCCCCTTACGTAACTTTAGATTAAGATATATTTTTTATTATTCCAAATTTAGATATAAACATAAATTCAAAATTGAGATTGAACATAGCTGTGAAGGAGAAAAAACTAAAGTATGATTTAAAAGTTTGAAAAATCAAGGGGTAAATTATCAAGAAAATAGTCTTGTAAGAAAATAATTGAAACTTGATTTTTGTTCGTTCTGAGTTTTTAACGATCTTGTGGATATTTAAAATTATTGATATTTATTTATGCAACTAATTTTTTTAAATTTTAGCATGTCATCAACTTTGCAAGTGAAATAGACATAAAGAATTTGACATATCATGTCTTTGAAGTATTTTATTTTTTAATGATTTAAATTATCTAAAATTTTGTAGATGCGAGGCTTAAGTATTAATTTAACTGGAAATTCAACAGAAGAGACATACGATTGGGAAAAAACTGCGAATGAATATTTTACTCCAAAAAAAGTTGAAGAATTGAAAACGACGACAGAAAAAGTGCCTACAACAGAGACAATCAACAATACAACAGAAGCAACCAATACGTCTACAACGGAGAAAATTCCTCTTCCTCCAAATGGGGTTGGTTTCGGTGGAATATATGATGAAGATAAAGAGGGTGAGAAGAAGAAAGAAGAAGACAAGGAGGATGAAATTAAGCAGGGAGAGGAAAATGTTCCGGAACGAATCTATTTTGAAGAAACTACTCTTTCGAATGATGAAGGCAAAGAAAATGAACAAAATAAAAATGATGAAATGACTACAAGTAAACCTGAGGAAGTTAGTACCAAAATTGAAGAAATTAATGAAGAGAAGGGAGAAGAGAAGGAAGAAATTAATGAGAAGCTTGAGGAGAAGAATAATGAAGAAAAGGAGGGAGGGAATGAAAATAAAGAAGAGGAAGAAAAAGATGATAATGAAAGTAAGGATGAAATAATAAATAAAGGAAATGAAGAAGAAAATGAGGAGGAGGAGAAAAAGAATCTTAAAGAAAATGAAGGAGAGAATTAATAATTTTAATAAAAAAATTGTTTGTTAATTAATGTAATATTTTCTTATTTATTTTTAAGTAAATTTAAAGAATTATAAAATTTTTGATATTAAAAATAAATTCTTTTAAAAAATATTTACAAAAAATCCCTACAGAAATAGTTAACGTAGAACAATAAATATTTGAGCCAGGTAAAGCATTTGCAAATTTACAGAAAAAATTGGAATAAGGAAAATCAAAATCAATGGATGGAAGCCAAAGGAATGGAACCTTAAAAATAAATAAATAAAAATTAATTTTTAAATATATTTACAGTAGTTAATGCCAACATTAAATTAGATAAAGCTAAATTGACAATTAAAACATTTCTTGCTGTTCGCATTGCTGGTTTTCTAACAACGGCCAAAATTACCTTTAAAAATAAAAATGTATTGAATTACTAATTGAATTAAGTACTGGGTGATTTTGTGAGGTACAAAAAAAAATAAAAGGAAATTTTTGAAAATTCGACTTTTCTCCAGTCCAAAATTTATATTATTTAGTTTATAATTTATTCAATATTTATTAATTTTAAGCCCATTTAGATTCCAATTTTTTAATACTGTTTCAGGTATTTTTTCAAATATTTATTTAACAAACCAATCCATTTCCAATTATTGCACAAATCGAAATTAAAACATAAAAAGAAGTATAAACTGCAGTTTCCCAAATATAATAACGTCGAAGGTGTGCAGTTAATTTATGAAAAAATGACTTTAAAAAATTAATTTTTAAATTAAAAATTTATTATTCTCAAACTTTTAAGCAATTATCATCAAAAGGAAATGTTTCCCAATTATTTGTGTCGTTAGGATTAACTGCTCTAGGACATTGACGGTTAATATCTTCAACAGAAAGAAACATCTAAAAAATTTATGAAGAATATATAAATTAAATAGTGGTTTGGGTAAGCTTTAAGAAAAAATTGTTGGTCTATATGTATGTTTGTCTCAAAATTATCAAAATATATTCGAAATTGATCAAAAAAAACTATTTGTTATGAAAAATTTTATTAGAAAATCATATAAAATTTTTTAAAAATAAAAAGTTTCGCCGAAAATAATTTTTTACGGACTTTTAAATGAATTACATATTTCCTTCCAAAATTTATTTTTATTGAAAAAAAGAAAGAATGTCTAGAGAAAGTAAAAAGTACATATGGCATGTTAAAAGATATATAAAATTTAACTAAACAATTTATTTTTGGGGAAGGAAAAAAAGGGGGAAGTTTATATATCGGAAATAGTAAAAGTTAAATGAAGGAAATAAAAAATAAAAATATTTAAGTAAATAAAATATCAATTCAAAATTTGTCATAATATTTTAATAAAAAATATTTTTTGACTAGAAACTGAGTTAGCCTTTCCCCTTTTTTCCAATATTTATTAAAAACATTTTCGTATTGAATAAATTAAAAAAATATGAGGAGGATAAATATGCGTGGTATAATAAAAATTGTTGCTTTTAAAGAGAAAAAGATTTAATAAATATTTATGTATGTACTTTACTTTTCGAATAGGCAATTTTGTTTGAAAATTGTTTTTCTTTTTATTTAATCTTTTAAATTAAAAAAAAATATTTAAAAAAGAGGGGATAATGGAAGGGTTAATGACATTTTATGTTTGGAGGAAACAAGTTTATAATTTAAGCCTTTTAAAAAAAGAAAAACATTAAGCAAAGCTTTTCAAGAGTTATTTAATAAACAAAAAAATTTTTAAATTTAGCAAAAATATACTTTAAATATTATCTAAAATGTTTAAAAAAATATTGAATTAAATTCTAAAATATTAATTTTAAATTTAAAAAAGTAAAAGAAAATTAATTGTATTTTTAGGGGAATTTAGTAAATAAAATATTTAGGAATTCTCCCTAAAAATAAAAATGTGAGAATTAAAAAACTTAAATAAAAACACCTTTCATTAATAAAAATTTTTAATAATAAAATTTGATTTTTATTTTCTACTAATTAATTTGCAAATTAATATAAAATAATAAAAAGGAAAAGTTTAAAATATTTCAATTGCTCAACTCGATTAATCCCTCAGAAAAAAAGGATTATTTAAAAATTTAACATTTAAAATAAATTAATAAAAAAATATTTAAACTGTAAAATAAGCGTGACAAATTGTGTAGAATAAAAATAATTAAAATAAAAATTTTTCAAAATTTTAAGAATATTTGAAGGGAATGAAAAAAAATATAAATAATAAACTGAATTTTAAAAAATATAAAGATGACATTTGTTGTTTCCATTTATTAATTCCGAAAAAAGAGAATTGTTTATTTACTTCTAAATAGCTTAATCAAGCAAATATTTAAAGAAAATATTTTTTTACAAAAAAAAAATATTTTTTTTGCTGTGTGGGCTTTAAATAAATAAAAAATATTTCTTTTAATAAATAAATGCTTAATTAAAAATTTAAAGGGTAAAGAATATTTTTTTGTAAAATATTTTTATATGACATTTTAAATAAATGAAGTTTAAAATAATTAAAAATTAAATGATGTTCTTTAAACAATTACTTTTTTCTTCAAAAAATTAATTAATTATATAAAATAATTTATTACAAAGTCTACTATAAATAAGTAATTTATCTTGTTTTTGTTATTTAGAAAAAAGGCTATTTTTGACAGTCAAATAAATTATTTATTAAATTTTGGCAGTAATATGTGTTATTATTGCTTAAATATATTATATGTATATAATAGATTGATATTATTTTAATTTAATATTTTTAAAGAAAAAAGTAATTAATATAAAACATAACGAAAAATAAATCTTGGTATCAAAAATTGAACCTTTATTTTGTTAACCTTACAAAATAATTTTAATAATAAAAATTATTTTGAGAAAGATACATATTTAGATAAATAAATTATCCAAATCGAGCTTTAGATCCAAATAGAGTTTTATTGTGAATTGTGAAAAAATGTGATGAATATGTAGAGATTTTTTTTTCTATTTTTTTTTTCTATTTTTTTACTTTCTAAATCAAATATCTTCACCTCCAATATTTATCTAGAGCTAAAATAATGTAAAAATTTCAGTGATTTTTAAATAATAATTTTTAAACTTTAATTTAAAAACCATTTAATATTTAAACTACTCAAAATATATTTAAAATAAAATTTCCAACAAAAATATATTTACATAATCCTTGTAAAATTTAAATCAAATAAATGTAATAATAAAAGAATAAAACATCAAAATAATTTTGGGTGGTTCCGGAATTTCTATTTTAGTTAGGGACGTGTTGAGGGAAGTGATTTTGACTAGAAAAGGAATTATTATTTTTGAATAAATTTTAAATATTTTAATTTTAAATAAATAATTGTCTAGATTTTGTAGTAATTTGTTGAAAATAAATAAATGTTTTTCTTCTCTCAATAAAAAATTGTGAAAATCTTAAAATCTTTGACTAATTATTTTAAAAATGAGGCTCTTAATAATTACTTCTTTAATTAATTAAAATTTAACCAAAATTTATAAATGAAAATTTTATGACAGAATTTTGTATATTTCATAGAGATTAAAAAACCCGACTACAGTCATATATAGACTGCATTAATTTTGGTGGTGGAATTTAAGCAAAAAAGTAAAGTAAAATAAATATTATATTTTTTAAATATTTTTTGAAGAATTTATATATTTCGAATAAAAAAATAATAAAAAAAATATTTTGGGCACACTCGGTTGATAAAAGGAGATGAATCTTTTTTGTTAAAAAAAGATGGGCATTACACAGAAAAAGCTTTAAAATGTAAAGAGAAGAAAAAGTAAAAGTGGGGGCTTTTTAATGTGCTTTTCCTTTTCATTTAATTCCTTTTATTTGAAGGAGGAAAAGAAGAAGGAGGCTTTATATTCTTGTGTGGTCTTCATTATATGTATGGTTATGTAGTTTCGTTAATGAAAAGAAATTTAGAATAAACGGTAAATGGACCAATTAAAAGTTAAAAAAAGTTAAAAAGAATATTTTTAAAGTCAAAAGTTTTGTTAATTTAGTTTTCAACGAATAAAGAAAAGAAAAAAAATTAATTAATTAATTTCTTTTAAATTTATTTTTATTTCAAAAATATTTTTTTTGTATTTAGGAATTCCATAGTTACAATAAATTTTAACTATGGAATTCTTTCAATTTTTAAAAAACAAATTGGGCAAATTTCCAATAAAAATTAATTCCAAACAAAATAAATAAAATTTTGGAAAATGTTTCCAAAAAATAAAACAATAAATTTAAAACAAATTTTGAAATACATAATCTTTGAATATTTATTTTAATTAAAATTTGTTTTTTATTGTTCTAGAATCCTTTAAATCTTTTAATAAAAATATTTTGAATAAAAAAAAAAGTTTTTTTTAAAAAGATGTTTTAAATTTTCCACGTATAATTTAATTCAAAAAAGGAAAGAAAACAAAACCGGAATAAAGAAAGAAAAAAAAAGAAAAGTTATTTTTAGAAAATAAATATCTAGAGTATTTATTTTTATTTAGTTGAAGAGATTTAAAATTGAAACAAAAGAAAATATGATATATTTATTTATTTTTAAATATAATTCTGCAATTATTTTTCATGAAACTAAAAGTCAAAAATTAAAAGAAGAACCGTCTTAAAAAGAAATATATCTAATTAATAATAATTTATTTTGAAAAAAAATTTATTTTAAATTTAAAATATAATAAATTTTGATTGATTAAGAATGAGATTTTGAAATTGTTTTGAACGAGGATAAAAGATGGGATTTCTTAGGCCTTGTGAAGAAAGCGGGTATTTTGATAAAATCTCGTTTTCTGGATTTACGAATTTAAGTGTTGTAGGTAGCTAAGAATATCAAGTCTGAGTCACAGCTAAAGAAACTGGACACAGCCACGTGATAAGATGATGCTGATAATAAATTTCTAAGCTGAATTTTAAAAATATTCCCTAAATGCTGATTTTCTTTTCTTAATTAACACACAGTGAAAATAAAATCATTTTCCAAAAATTAAGATTTATATTTAATTCGAGTTACAAAATTAAAGAAAAATCTTAAAAATAAAAAAGTTTTTAACAAAATAATAATTTTTATTTAAAATTTTCTAAAATTTCTTTAAAATAAAAATGATTTTTTCAAAAATATTTAAATAAAACTTTTTTTTCTATAAATAATTAATTAATTTGCATTTAAGAAAAGGCAACAATATACATAACCAAAGATTGCATTTTCTTTAATTTTTTTTCTATTCATTTTAAATTCGTAAAAGATATGAAATTTTGGAAAAAAAGTATTTTGAAGTTTAATCTTAATTTTAAATGCAAAAAAAAACAATTTTTTGTAGAACAAAGAATTTCTAAAAGACAAATAATTTTTCTGAAATTAATTTAAATCTTTTTGCTAAATTTAAATTAATTTAAATAAATATCTCGTGAAAAATGTTTATTTAATTAGTTAAATTATAGAAAATTGAGAAAAAAAATTATTTAAATTTAAAAATTAATGAGTAAAAGGGAGGATAAATATAATTTTGGGATTAAGTTGAAGAGAGAGAATATACAGATATTATCTCATAATTTTAAATAATAAATTTAATAGAAAATTAAAATTCATTATTGTAACTATTATAAGTACAGTCAGCCCTCGATATGGCAAACTTGAAGGGGTAGAAGAAATTTTGACACATCTAAAAGCTCGGTATATCGAGTGTTAAATTTAAATATTTTTTTAAATACATATTACCTAATTATTTAAAGACAATAATTAGAGGTCTTAGAATAAAAAAATTAATAAAAAATATTTTATCTTTCACAAAATATTTTTTCAAAATTAATATTTAAATTTTTTATCCTTAAATTCAATTAAAATAAAGGTTGGGCATATTGTTAAAAAACAAAATTTTATTTAAATGCATTTAAAGTCAAAAGCAATTTTTATAGATAAAATTTAATTTGCTTTTTATTTAAAGTACACACAAAGGGAAAATGCAACAATTATTGACATTGGACAAATAAATAAATATAGATTTTAAATAAAATATTCTATGTGGGAGTAAAAATGTTTTTTTTATTTTGTAAATAAAAGTTGGCATTCAAAAAGCATTGTTATTTTAAATTTTAGAATTAAACATTTAAAATTCAGAAAAAAGGAGAAATGTTTGTTGAGTGAAAAATGTCGCGAAATTTGAGAATGAGAGAGGGAGACTTTTAAAACATAAAATATTTAAATAATGAAGTTAAAATGCTTAAATGAAACATTGTAGATTTTCTCTTATTTAATTTAAACTACATAGATAACAAAAATGGGGAAATCTCTTAGTCATTCTTGTTTTATTCCTATCATTTTTTCATAATTAAAAATAAGGAGTATATAGTATTTTTGGTTATTTAGCCCAACTTATTATAAATAAACTAAAATAAAAATCTGGTGTTTGATTTTATATAAAAACATAAATATATCCAAGAACTGAAATTGGATAATAAACTACATATAAACAAATATTTTTAAAAAATGTTGCATTCTTAATTAGGAGAATTTTGAAGTTTTCTTTATTTTAAAAAATATATATTTATTAAATTACCTTACATTAAAATAAAAGAGCTAATAAAAAATAAAAATATTTGTTTTATTTTTTGAAAAAACAAAAAATAAATTTCTGTTTTGCTCGAATAATAATTTTATTATTTTATAAAATTCGGCAAAATAAATTCTCTCCTCTTTATCTCTTCACAAAAATTTGACTCTCTCCCTAGAGAAATTGCTAATTGGATTAGAAAAAAAGGAAAAAGAGAATAAATTTAATTAAATATAGCAACATTCGTCAGAAATTTTTTTTAAATAAATTACTAGGAAAGAAAAAGTCGAAACAAAAAATTATATAATATTCTAAGTACTTTAAATATGTAGATAATTAATTGAGTTAATCTGGAATATAATTATTTGGCTTTATATTATAATTAATTGAAAAATTAAATTTAAAAAATAAAAAATTTAATTAAATATTTAAATGACTTGGAAAAGGAAAATATTTAGTCTTAAATTTTAGAAGAATTTTTAAAATATATCTGACTATTTCTTAAAATATATAGAAATAGTCAGAACAATAATTTTAATTAAAAATTTGTTGCATCTTTTTTAACATTATTTTTAATCTCATGAGAATATTTTTGAAAATATTAATTAAGTATAGTTTATAAAAAAAAAAGAAAATTTCCTTGGGTTTAAATATTAATAAAATCGGACCTAACTATTTTTCAAACTTGTATGTCGCTTTCATTTTATTATTAAATTTTTTGCCCTATAATGAGACTAGACTGGTATATGATTTTAACCTGAAAATCGTAACATCTTTAAGATTATTTTATTAAAAATATTTTAGTTAACTAAATACAAGACTAGGCTTTAAAAATAAATAAATATCTAACATCTACTCTGTTTGCCGTTTTATAAATTATTGGCACAAATATTTAAAGTATTTATTTTCTGCAAAATAAAATTTTTTAAATATTAAATAAACGAAAAATATCTCTACGCAAAACATTTTTTAAACAAATTATTCATTTATTTCCAGGTGAAAATTCATAAAATTAACAAATAAGGCTTGATTGGCATTTAATTCTTTTACCAAAAAAATAAAAAAAAATAATTTAAAAAACATCTGTTTGGAGAATAAAATATATAAACAACTAAATACACGAAATAAAAAATATATAAAGAAAGAAAACAATTAAAATTTTGTTTTATAAAAATGTTAAAGAATAGAGGGGGGAATGTCTACTTTAATGTTAAAAAAAAGACTAATGAATTTTGACAAATTTTAAATATTTAATTGTACTTTAAAAAATTATTTTTTACTAAAAATTTTAGAAAATATAAAAGAAAGGGGGCAATAAAAACAATTCCCGGTCAATTATTTATTTAAATAATGAATGTTATTTAAATTTTAAAAATTAAATAATGATAGATAGATTGGGCTGTTTTGGAAGGTAATCAAAGAAAAATTTTTTTAAAGTATACATATATAAGGCCTTGATATTTTCCTTGGATTTAAAAAATTATTAAATAAACGAAAAATATCTCTACGCAAAACAATTTTTCTTGTTTTTATTAAATCATTTATTTATATATGGGCCTTTAGGGAAATACTTTTTTTATAAATTTTTTATTTATTTCAAAATCCACGCCTAAAACGCCATTTCAATCAGAGTAGTTTGTAAAGATGGAATTTATTTTTTCGTTTTGGTTTCGTTGATAGCAAAATTCTATTTTCGTACAGCTCTGATTTCGATACAAAATTTAAATTATTTTAAAACTACCTTATTATTATTCAACGCAATTCTTTCATCATCAGAATAGCTCATTCTTTAAAAATAAATTTCTGCAAAATAAATTAGCTAAAAATATAAATAATTTTAAAAATAAATTATTTATCTACTACATATATATTTTACAAAAATAATATCTAAAAGAAATTTGTTAAGGAAAATTCCTGGGAAATTCTGCAGATGCTAAAATTATGACTAAAAATTAACAAATATTTTTATTATTTTTAAATTTAAAAAAATCCTTTAAAAAATACTCATTTTAAAGAAAGAAGTTTGACGTTTTCACATGAATGATATTTTGTTTTTCCTTCTAATCCTTTTAACATTTTCATTTTCCGTCATCAAAATATATTAAATTTTTTTGTTAAACAAGTCAACCATTGCAAATTAATAATATTTTTTATATTTTTGATTATTCTACTCTCTCTCTTCATTATGCCAATAAAAGTCCTCGTTTCCTTCCCTTTGTGTGTGGCATTTAGGGAGATATATAAATTAATTGTTAAGGGATTAAATGAATATTTTTACCTAACTCCTTTCTTTCCTAAAATTAATAACGTTGGAAATACAAAAATAAATATTGGAAAAATAAGTTCTAATTTTCTTATATGCTGGGCTTTAAGATTTTTTTAAAAACATGTGAAAGAAGAAAAATTAATAAGAATTCTTTTAAATGAGAGATGGAATAGACTAATTATGTAATTAAAGGCAAATCCAGGGGCTAATTATTGATCTTAAACTAACAAAATTGGACTTCAACTCGACGAGCCATATTGAATGACCTATAATTTAATATTTTTACTTATGGCTCCATTAAACAGAGTAGATGATATGATTGTAGTATGATTATACTACGAATAGTGCTGAAAATGATTATTGAGTTATTATTGGAAGATATATTATTGGAAGATATTGAGAATCTAAGTTTTACATTCAGATAATGGAAATAATTGAAAGGTTAATAATACTTTTTGATTAGGTTTTTTAATTAAAAATAGTTAGAATATTATTTATTTTGTCTTCTAATTTTAATTAAAATGGGCAATTTAGGAAACCTCTTTGTATGAGAGCAAGAGAATTTATATAATTTCTGGATAGTCCCTTCTAATACATGTAACTTTTCCTACTTTACCTATTTCTAAATTTAGTAAGTACATTCATATTTCTGAATGAAAAGAAAAAAGAAAATAGGCACACAAGGAGGAGCAAAATAAGTTTTAATATTCCCCAATTATTTTCATTTTATTATTAACATATGGATTGGGTGACATTATTTTTAAGAATGATACATATTTATTTTTCTGATTTTAAATAATTTAATTGAATAAATTTTTAGTTTTTTTTTAATTTAATTGTTAGCTAACTAGAGCTAAATGAATTCATTGCCAATTGAAACAAAACTTGATATATTTAAATTCCTTAATTTCACTCAATTGTTCACTTTTAAACAAACAAATCATTACTATCGAAATTTAATTAATAAATATGGGGCAGAATTGGCTCGTATGAAATTCAACAAACTCTCACTGGTAAATATTTATTTAGTTATTTATTTTTGATTTATTTCAGATTGACGCCAATATTATCAATCGAGAGTTAAATCGGTAAAATTTACTTTATGGGATAAAACCAGATACGCTCTTTTATAGCTCATTTGAAACAGCTCGTTGAGCTGCATTTTTCTCCTCGCAAAAAACGATAGACACAAGATTATATCCCTGGTATCAATGTATTTCCTAGATACAAACTATTGACAATTAGAAAGTCAACTCATCCGAATACCGAACATTATACTAATTGTGTAAATTGAGTAGTTTTTGTATTTACAAATACGGCTGTGGATTTGAAAATTAATTTAACAATTTTAAATTGTCTATGGATTGAAAGTAAAACTTTGATTATAAGACTATTTTTCAGAAAGATTATTATTTTTGACTTTAATACAAAACCTGCGTCCCATAGCAATTTATGCGTCATTTTTTCACTTGAATTCTGGCGTTTTATAAATGACTGCGACTTGAGGTTTACAATTGCGTAAAATGATTTCAAATGCAGGCGCTGCTCTCGAGCTATACAAATAATTTCATTTGGTTTTACCCCATAAAGTAAAATTTATCCGTCAAATTGGTATAAAATTATTGAACCTGGATCTGAAATTCTTGAATTTATTTTGAATGATCAACTTAATAAAAAGGTTAATTTAATTCTTAATTTAATTAAAATTATTTTTTAGTGGCAAGCAGCTATATCTAGATCAGTTTCATTGTTTTTACATGATTTTGAACCTGACAAAGAATTTATTGTTTGTTTGGAGAGAACATTTTTCTATGCAAATGATAAAAAACCTCGTTATTATCTTTTGAAATTGCCCAACAATCCAAAAAATATAGAAGAAATGATTATTATTCGTCATTGTTTGGAACAACTTTTTAATTGTGCCTTTGAATATGCTTATTTTAATAAAATTGTGTTTAATCCAGAAATAATTAATTTATTATTTGATAACAACCAAACAACTTCTCCACAATTTCACATTCAAAAACCCTCTCTATCAACTAGCAATAATTTATTTGAAAACATTTTTAGATTCGTTTTGAATCATTTAAAGATTTTTGAATTTGTCAGTATTGATTTCAATCACATGGACATTCCAGAGGAAAATATAAATATTTTGTTTGATATTTTGATAAATGAAGGCAATAAATTACCCAAAGTTTGTTTAAGTCGATTTAAATTAGCAAAACTTCATGATCTTATTGTTGATGTAAGTTACTTATTTACAAATATAAATTTAAAAAATTCGAATTTTAGCACATATCAACCTCTCAAAGTTGTTCAAAAACTGTACCAGTTATTATTTTCGATAAAATTTTATTCTCGGATTTTAAATTGAACGAGAGGGCAGAAAAAATTGAAATTGGACATTTAAAAACTTTTAAAACTACTGACTATCAAATTATCAATATTAACAATCCAAAAGTGAGATTTTTATTTTCCAATGAAGAAGGGAGAGATGGATCAATTTTTTATGTGCAAATTAAAAAAATTTTATTGTAAATTATCGAATAACGAAATGTTTTTTACATTTTTATAAACTCTTTCGAATAAATTGTTTTTTTATTTTTGATAAAAAATTATTACATTGGAAAGGTCTAATAGATGATTACTATATTTATTGTATTGGATGTTCGGCTGTTAGAAAATAAGTTATAAAGGATTATTTGAAGGGGCAATAATAGCATTTACATACTATTTAAGAAAAAAATTAAACATAAAATATTTACTAATTTTAAATTGAAATTCTTTAAATTTCATATATCATACATAAGTAAGCATTAGACCTTTGCCTATTCAGAACTTGGATCTTAAAAAATGGACCGCAATGCACAATGATACGAAATTAAAAAAATTTAAAACTGTAATATTTCTTGATTCTGGAATCCGCAATTAAATTTTTCTAATCAAATGCCCATTTGCGGATTAAAACTGCGTAATTCCGAGTAAATCTGCGATACATTCCAAAATTTTGCAATTTCAAAATTTCGATTCTAAAATTTTCTTCATCATTCGAATCTACTCCAACCTGCGCGAGAAGAATTGAATCTATGGAAAAGGATAAATATAAAATAGATGCGACATATACACGAGACCAATATTGTATCATGACAAGACTGACGATTTAATTAAATAAAAATATAAAGACGGAGAGCTGCGAAGGACGAAGTGGATCAGGGACTAGTAGAAGCTAGTATGCCCCAATTGATACGGGTAGCAATGGCTTTTATATTAACACTAATCTAACAGCTTATATACTAAGGCAATTAACATAACGGCCAGAGTCAGAAATAAACTATAAAAGCAGCTTAATATAAAATTCCCATACCCAAGTTCAATTACACTCATCATCTACAGTCATCTACGTCGACGCTCAGTACTTCGCTTCACTCCTTCAGCAATGATATCGCGCCAGGCCTCGGACGTCAACATGTTGAGCAGCATCACGGCACTTGCAGCTAAAGAGGAGTTCGACATCGCACATTTCAACAAGGTCGGTTTAAATGCTAATAGCAGCTCAGAGCATTCATTTTTTCTTCTACCATTCAGGTCCTAGAGCACTGCAGCTACATCAAACTGAACGACGAACAGCTCAGGGAGATCATGCAGCGCCTGGAGCAGAGCTTTGCAGAAGGGCTTCAAAATGGTACGTTGATTGCTTTGATTTTTCGATTTGCAGAAGAGTAAATAAAGCGATTTTTCGATTTTCAGAAGAGACTGCAGTGGTTAAAATGCTCCCATCGTTCATTCGCGCAACTTCTGTGGGCAAGGAGAGTGGGGAGTTCTTGGCACTAGACTTGGGCGGAAGCAACTTCAGAGTACTGTTGATCACCCTGCACGGCGACGGGAAGAAGGGAGAAATGAGGCATGTGACCTATGCGGTGCCACAGGAGCTGCAGCAAGGAACTGGAGAACATCTCTTTGACCATGTCGCTAACTGCCTTCACAACTTCATGGTAGAGGAAAGGCTTTCCTGCAACAAGACGCTCCCGCTTGGATTTACCTTCTCGTTTCCTTGCCAGCAAAAAGGATTGGCATCGGCATCACTCGTCGCATGGACCAAAGGATTCAGTGTGAGCCTTTCTCAATATACTTTCAGTTATAAAATCAAAAATTCTTTTTCTTTTCAGGCCTCAGGCGTTGTCGGCAAAGACGTCGTTCAATTGCTCACGGATGCGTGTCGGCGGAAGAACATCGCGGTCAATGTCGTGGCGCTCGTAAACGACACCGTTGGAACAATGTTGGCATGCTCATTCTTCGATCCTGACTGCTCCATTGGGCTCATTGTTGGGACTGGGAGCAACGCTTGTTATATGGAACGCTTGGAGAACATCAGCAAACTCAATGGTTTGGTCAGCGTAAATGGTCGGCGATGATTGTGTGGGTGAAAACTATTTTTCTCTCGTTTTTAGATGGACTTCCTGAAGAAATGTGCATAAACTGTGAGCTCGGTGCCTTCGGCGATGACGGGAAGATCGACAAGTACAGGACGGTGCACGACAAGAAGCTAGACGCCAACTCCATAAATCCGCGCAAACAAACATTCGAGAAGATGATCTCCGGGATGTACTTGGTCAGATTTCTATCTCTCCAATAAGGGTTTAAATTTTCTTTAAGGGCGAGCTTGTGCGTCTTGTGTTGGTCGAGTTGGCAGAAGCAGGACTTCTCTTTTCTGGGTCAGCGGTCACCAGCAGTGCCATCGGAAAACAAGGATCGTTCTCAACTCGGATCCTGTCAGAAGTAGAGAGGTGATTTTCCATTATTAAAAGCTTTGGTTGAGCAAATTTTTTACCTTTAGGTATGTGCTCGAGTCTGAAAAGCCGCTGCATAAGATAGGCCTGCTCTTGTCAGATAATGGTTCGTGGGCATACACTTTTGGGGTGGGTAAATTCATCTTATTCATATTTCACAGGTATTGCTTCCCCGTCGTCAACTGACTGTGCTGTTGTGGCCTACGTTTGCTCCATGATCAGCTCAAGGTCGTCCAATCTCTGCGCAGTGGCGATGGCCACCATTCTCCAAAGAATTAATCGGAAGCGAGTCGCGATTGGCGTGGATGGCAGCTTATACAAGGCTCACCCGACATTCAAGGACTTGTTGTCAACAAAGATTGAGGCACTGACTGGTGGAAAATATGAGGTGAGAAAATCACCTTTAAAACTTTTTAGAGCTTTATTTAATATTTTTTAGTTCAAACTAGTCCTCTCGGAGGACGGGAGTGGGCGCGGAGCAGCAGTGGCAGCAGCCGTGGCAGTTCGTTTGGCAGGTGCTGGCATGAAGAAATAAGCGAAAAGAAAGATGTTCTCGGAAATTGTGATAGTTGTACATTGTATATGTGATAGTCTGTTTGTTCATATTGTATTGATATTAATTCATATTATTGTATGTATATTGTATATTATTGTTGTATGTATATTTAAATGGATAAAATGAGCAAGTTTTTGTCCCATTTTTTTGAATTTGTGTTTGGTATGTCCAAACTATCATTTTACACTCTTGCTCTTCCGCATTTTTGTCCTCTTTCACGATTCACACTCCTAACGGAAGTATTTATTTTTGAATTTATTTTTGAAAAATTTATTTTGACCTTCCAGAAACTTTTGCCTGTGCTGATAAAAAAGGAGATCTGGCTTCTTGGCCTTCTAAGATTCCAAAAATATCTTTTTGCAGGGTAAAGTAGTTTGTCCCGAAAAATAAATATTTAAATTACTGCCTGTTATTTATTTAAAATTCAAATTTTTCCCTACGTAGTATTTACTTCCTTTAAACTAAGAATTTATTTTCTTTTAAGGCAATACCAGAATTTTTAGAATTAGAAAAAAACTTTTAAACATAAAATTAGTAATGACCAAAAAAGTTTTAGGAAATAGAAAAATATTTTCTTCCTTTCAGCTGTATGTTATTTACATTTTTTACATAATTTTTAGACTTGGACTGACTTTTAACATAAATTTAAGGTTATGACGAATATTTGTTTTTTTAAATTGGTGAATTTTTGGACTGTTTTTAACTTTTTTTGAATGCTACATTTTTAAAAAGCTATTTTGTTACATTTAAAATATGAGGGGAATTGTTTTTTGTTTTATTAAAATTTTATATTGGCTTCGTTCAAAGAAACCTAAATTTTAATAATTTACTAAAAATTGATTAATCTTTCTAAATAAGCGAATGATGGAAGAATGATTTATATAAATTACAAAACTTTGATAATTATTTATTTGATGCTAAAATTTTATCAAATTTTATTTATTAATTCAAAAAACATTAATCCATAACAAGCCCGCAAATATTTTTAATAATTTTCAAGTTATTCCTTTTTAAAAATTTGTAAAATATATTTATTTATTTATTTTTTTGTTGTATTTTGATGCTTTTAACATTTTTTTGTTAAAAAATATTTTTATAAAAATAAATATATGTATGTTTTTTAAAATTAAATTTTCATTTTTTCTTTAATTAAAAGGATAAAGCCTTATACATATATTTATTTATTTTTTAAGGTTATTTCAACTAAAATAAGTATGTACACAAATTTTCTTTTTTTTTATCAAACAAATTCATTAATGTCATTTCTCTTCTGAAAAAGAAATTAAATAAAATAAAAATTGTCGCACATCGGTGGCCATCAATTTCTAAACAAAAAAATTTTTTTGTGTTAAATTCTAAAAGCAATATATATATATCCTTGTGGAACAATTGCATTTTTTCTTTTGTGCCCTAAACCGTGGCAAAAATAAAATTTTATTTTTTATACATAGTATTTTATTTACGGCAATGATTGAAGGAATTGAGTGAAGAAAATTTTTTATTTAAATTTATTTCCTTATATTTTTATTTATTTTGCAGGATTTTTATTTAAAGTTTTTTATGATTTTTGCTTATAGAAATTTTGATTAACTTTTAATTGGAAAATTTGTAAATAGAAATTTTAAATTTTAGAAAACTGATTTAATAATAATTATTTTTTGTTGAAAAAGAATTATCACTTTTTTCGGATAAATTTTAATTTTAACTAATTAAACAAAAATTTAAAAAAAAAACAAAAATTTATCGCAGATTCTTCTTTTTTTAATTTTTTATCTTTTTCTGTAATTTTTAATTTAAAATATTTACTCCAATAATTTTTTATTTCTGAATAAAAATTTAAATAAAATAAACTACATTTTTTGCTGTTGCTAAATATGTATAGCAGTAAAGATGAAATTTTTGGTTATTTGCCTTCTGTTGTCAACAAATATTTTTTTCTTTTTTTCCTAAAATGCTTATCGAAATATATTTAAATTTTTGTGATGTCACTTATTTTAATTAACTAATTTTGGAATTTTTTTAAATTAAAAATAATTTGAGGAATAAAAAATTTAAAAATAAATAATTATTTCGATTATAATTGTAAATCGTTTCATAATTTTCTTACTTTTGCCAATTTACAAAGTCAAGAAAAATATAATAATTAGTTATTAGAAAAATAAATCTTTAAACTAAAAAGTATTATCACAGATTTTAGAACTTACATCTGATTGCAATCTTCTCCCTCTTTAGTACATATTTCTCTACTAAATACTCAAAATTTATTTATTTTGCTTAACAAATTTATTTTTATTTATTTTAAATTCTCAATTTTCATTATTTTTCACCTTTCAATTGTTGATTTTTTTAAATTTTTTTTTATCTCGAATTAAAAATTTGTAAAAACATAAAAGCATTAAAGGGAAATTAAAATGTTTTTTTAAATAAATTGTTTGCCTAAGCTCTTCTTCTATTTTTATCTTTTATTTACAGCCTTTCTATATATTTATTTTAATTAATTTTAGTTGACTTTTTATTTTTATTTTAGTTTTTTCCTTTTAAAATAACACCTTTTTTCAAATTAATTAATAATGAGAACCCCTCAATTAATTAAAAAAATAAATAAAATTTTATTTTTAAATATTTTGTTTAAATTTATTTAGTTATACGAATATAAAAATAGAAACAAAAATAATTAAAAGGCTTTTGACAATGATTGATTGAATGATTTGATTTTTATATAAATCTACTATTTTTCTTTATATAAATTTTCTTTTTATATTTTTTTGCTAAATCTTTAAAAATAACTTTTTGATTTACTAAAAATGATTACTAAATTATTTTTTATAAAGTTAAGAAAGCTCTCATTTCCTCATTTTAGATTAACAAATTATTTCAGGCTTAAATATTTTCATATAAATTAATAAAGTTATATTTTGAATATACTCCCTAACAAATTTTTATTTAGTTGAATTGAATTAACGAATTTGAATTGACAAAATAAAGTTTATTAAATCAAAATTAATTTTAAAGAGAATTTTTAGACAATTTAAAGTTTCAAGAGATTTATTAAAATCGAGATTCGACTGTATTTGGATTTAAAAATACTATGTAATATTCGTTTTATATTAATATATTTAGCTTCTATGCTAAGCATTTCAAAAGCCTCAAATCAAAATAAATCTCTCATTAATATACATATCTCCTACTAATTTGCAAACTCTAATTCAATTTGATATATTTTCTATATTATTTAAAATCTTCCTAAATATTATTTATTTAAAAATTAATTAAATATACTAAATATTAACTAAATAAAAAATAAAATCAATCATTTCTTTATCCAAACAAATCTTTTCAATTATTTTAAAAATAAACCTCAAAAATCATTTTTTATATTATCTTCTTTTTTTGTCTCCATACATATGTTCGTGACAAAGAACAAAATGTCAAAATTGAGACAGATGAAATTATTTTGGAAAGGGAAGGCCATGTGGAGGGAGAAGAGGGGGGAGGGAAGGGAAGGAAGTGGCAATTGCTTTAATATTTTTATTTATTTATTTGAATATTCCCCTCTTTTTTACGTTCTTTTTTCTTCATTTTCTTCCACTTCACAGGACATCCCTTTTTGTGTCCCTAAGGGGGGAAGAAAAGTGATGCATGAGGCATAGAACAATGAAAAAACTGTAAAGAAAAAAGAACAATAAATGTAGGTATGTTGCAGCGATGTCACGGGTTGAGAAAAATGTCGGGTCGGGTTTCGGGTCGGGTTTCCAAAATTTTTCTCGGATCGGGTTTCGGGTTTCGGGTTGAACAAAAACTCGGGTCGGGTTTCGGATCGGGTTTTCAAAATTTTCTTCGGATCGGGTTTCGGGTTTCGGGTCGAAAAAAAGCCAAAATTTTGAGAATTTTGGAAGGCCAAAAAGCCAAAAATCTTCCCTTCTCAGCGCCGCAGGCGAAAATTTTGAGAATTCTTGAAGGTCCGAAGCCAGATTTCTTTCTTTTTCAGCGCCGCAGGCGAAAATTTTCAGAATTTTGGAAGATCATTAAGCTAAAAATCTTCCCTTTTTCTGCGACACGGGCGAAAATTTTGAGAAAACTCGGGTCGGGTTTCGGGTCGGGTTTTGAAAAATAAAAATTCTCGGGTCGGGTTTCGGGTCGTGTTTTAGAAAATTTCTCGGATCGGGTTTCGGGTATCGGGTCGAAAAAAAGGCCGGGTTTCGGGTTTCGGGTATCGGGTTTCGGGTAACCCGTGACATCCCTGGTATGTTGGTGTTCTCTAGTATATGATTTTGCTACAAATTTTTAAATAAATATTTAATTTTTTAAAATTTAATTTCTGTCTAGTAATTCTCTTATTTTATTTAAATTTACAAAAATAATAATTAATTATAGCTTTTTCTAAAAATTAAAGGAATTTTTTTAAAAATAAAAATTTTAATTTTAAAATTTTTATTAGCAAACTTTCCTTCAAAGAAAATTTTATGGAAAATCCTAAAAATAAGAAATAAATTGTGAATACTTTTTTGTAAATATTTAAATAAATTAAAAAGACTAAAGAATTAATTTTTAGCAGATATTTAATATATAATATTTTAGTAAACTTAACCTCTAATGAACAATAAAATAATCTAAAAGGAAATCCATTAACAAACTTTTTTTGAAATTTAAGAATAAATAAATATATTAAAAGACTAAATAATAAATTTATTTTTAGCAACTTTTAGGAATTTCTTTTTATTTTAATAAATTTATTTTATAAATTAAATAATTTTTAGACTATTTACTGTATTTGCTCAAATAGTACTTCTGGCAGTATTATTTTTCAACGCTCTTCTAAAGGGCAGTACTAATTGAGAAAATAACTTTCCCTAACAATTAAGGGTAAAATTAAAAATATTTCTTCCTTTCTTTTTTTGTTTTAATTATTTAATTATTTGTTGTATTTATTTTGTTTTTTTTTTTCATTTTTTGCTGTTTATTTTTTATTGGACCAACTAAGGTTTAATAATTTAATTTAAAATCTTTCCTTTTTTTAGTTTAATTTTAAATTTATTTTATTTATTATTTAAAATTATGTTAAAAATAAAATGAATCAAAATTTGGATTATATGGAGGAGTATGGGGATGGAACTTTTGAATTACAGGCAACAATACTTCCAAATGAATGTAGTTATCCTATTGGAAGTTCTTCATATAAAAATGCTGCAAATGTTTGGAAATTTTTTGGAAATTTTTTTTTAATATTTTTTAAGGTCCGTTATTTATTTCGGCATGGAATAATTAATTGGCCCAATTTTACCCATTGTTTACCCAATTGTGGTCTTTGTACACAATTTGCTTCAGATCATGCCTACCAAATTGTAAAAATATTTTTTAATATAAAAAATAATTTTTAAATTTCAGTATAATTTGGTAGTTATTGGGTTTCTTTTACCATTTATCAGTTTATGCGGCCTTTGCGGCAATATACTCTCCGCTTTTATTTATAGCAGAGTTTGTTTTTAAACAATTTTTTTTAATTTTTAGTTGTAAATTTCGTAAAAGATGGAAGTAATTTATTTAAAACTCCTAGTCCTCCCCCTTTTTTTCTTTCAATTTTTTAACCTCAATACTCCATTGTAATATCCATAAAATTTATCAAGCTATATTTTTGCTATTTTATTATTTATTCAATTTAATTTAAATATTTTTATAACTAAAAAATCAAATTCCCTTCAAATAAAAATTTTTATTTTCTGTAATAATTCATCGGATTTTTCTTTAAGCCTGCTCTACGTCATTCCTACACTGGAAGTATTTATTTATCTGCTTTAGGATGCTCAGACACAGCTGTAATTTTAATTTAATAAATTTATTCAAAAAATTTTAAAAATAAGGTGATATTGACTGCTCTTTTTCTTTTCTTTATTGACTCAATTAGACGATATTCCTTAAATCTCTCAATTTTATATGGAACTCTTTCCCCTGTTGTATATCCAGCTGGGATGATTGCACAAACTTGTTCTGTTTATTTTACAATTGTTGCCGCTGTCGATTGTTTTGTTCAAGTAAATTAATCTTTAATTGATGTTGGCAGGGAAGGATACATCATGAATGAACCACTGACACATAGTCCGACACACAACACTCTCACTACCTTTAATCCAAATATTTTTGTAGAATTTCCTTTATAACTGGCAAATATTTTGAATTCTTACCACGCCTCTTCTTAACCCTCCCAACTATCCCAAATCAATTTTGGACAATTTTTTAATATTTTTTGATTAAAGGTTTGTATGCCAACAAAAATAAAAAGATTATTTTCAAGTCAATTATTTACAAAATGTTTGGCTAGTGGAATTCTTGCATTTGCCTTTATTTATAATATCCCGTAAATTTAGTTAAAATTATTTTTTAATTAAAAATTATTAATAGACATTGTTTTGAATCGATACTTTTGGATTGTTGGCATCCAAATTTTCAAAGTCAATCTGTTGAAGTATGTCCAGCACCTTTACGATTCCATCCCACGTAAATAAAAAATTTTATTTAAATTTATTTTTGAAAAAGGACTAAATTAAAAATTCCCAATGACTATACAAAGCCATTTGAATGAGCTAATAATAAATATTATCCATTTAATACAATTTTGATTTTTTTACAATAAACAAAAATTATCTGGAAAATAAAATCGAAAGAAATTTCTCGAAAGCCAAGAGTTTCTCATAAAGTTTAAAAATATTAGTAAAATGGAAAAAAAATCTAATAACTCATACAATTTTTATTTTTTCAGTTATATGCTCATTTATTACAAATATATGTATGCAATCTTTTTGGCTGTTGGCCCATTAATAGTTTTAATTGTTTTGAATATTATTGTTATTATTGCTACTGTTTTTTGTAAAAAGGGAAATTCTGCTGATAATTTGGCTTTAGTTAGTAATTAAATTTTTATTAAATAATTAAAAGAAAATATTTTAGATACTTGTTGTTTTGCTTTTTATTTTATGTAATACTGTTGCTTTGCTAATTAATATTTTTGAAACGGTTAATTTTAAATTCTTAAATAAATAAAAATAATTAATAGGGATAAATTAATACATAAATAAATGACAGGACTAACTATTAATTTTGTTTGTCTGACCCTTTCCTAATAGGATAAAAATAAGTAGATTTAATATTTGAAAGAAATACAAATCTGAGGATAAAATACAACCTAATAAATATCTGAAATGTGAAGAATATACCTATAAATATTCTTTAATTTTCAGCATTTAGCATCTTCAATGTCTTGGAGAATTAATTATATAATTGATATATCTAATTTGTAAAATAAATATTTTTAAAATTAATTCTTTTTTTTTAATTTTAGACTTGTAGTTTTCAATTCAAGTTTCAATTTTGTTATATAGTAAATAAATAATTAATTCAATTAAAAATATTTCTTTCAAAGTTATAACTTTTCTCGTCCTTTTCGTTGCACATTTTCTCGTCATTTTGGGCCAACAACCTCTCCACAAAAATCCCATTCTTCTTTATGTGGTCATTCTACAATTATGAGGCATCATACACTTGACTACACAAATAAATCAAGAATTTCCAATGGATCAAAAAATGGGCAAAATGGTTTGGGAAATTATATTTATAGTTTAATTTTTGTAAATTAGAGAGGTGGAAAGTAGTAAGAGGGAGTAATTTTTGATATTTTAGCGTATCCAAAGTATTTATGTCTTTATTTAAAAATAAGCCTAAATTTAACAATAAATACACAATAACAAACTTAAAATATTAGCAAAAAATATTCTTTAAATCATCATGAAAAGTAGCAAAATTTATTTTAAAAATTAATCTTCAACAAAAACTAAAAATATTATAAGATATATTAATAATATTTAATTCCATTTTCAAATCCTTTTAAGTATTTATTTTACAAAAATGTGCACGTTCGCAATCATTATCAGCAGTACCCTCAACAACACCTTTTATAATGAGTACAAGTTCAAATGAATATTGCAATAGAAGGGAAATAATTGGAAATGGAGAAAGGGATACTTTAAACGAAGAAAAGTTAAAAGTTGAAGATTTTAGGAAGGAAACAATTTTGGAGGAAGGAGAAGAGAATTTTACTCACAAAATAAAGGTGTCGATTAAAAATTAATGTTAATTAATTTGTATTTTATAAAATACTAGATTAAATATAATTTATGTTTTATAATTAAATTTAGATAAAAAATTCAAACAAAACAATTAACAATTCCCAACAACAACAACCCCAACAAAATCCTTTAATTTCTTCAAATATTAAATCAAAACCTAAAGTAAATTGCACAGTATCTCACAATCAACAAAAATGTATTGATCGTTCAAGTAGTGGCTCATCAGGGATTTCTGTTTAATTATTTTTGTGATTTAAATTTTTTATAAATTTTATTTGTTAAATTTAATTAAACTTTGTATGTATAGAATTAATTTAATAAATTAATTTTTTTAAAAATAAAGTGTTCGTATAATTCAAATAATATTTCCAAAATTTTCGCTGATACCTATTTATTTATTTATATTTTTGATGTAATTACACCCAAAATTCTAGAAAATCTAGTTAGCGAAAAAAATTGACTTTAATTTATATTAAATACACTCAATCTAATATAAAAATAAACACTTCAAAGCCACAAAATTTATTTAAAAATTCTCAACAATTTTTACAGATAAAGAATTTTTGCTTAAAATGAATAGATAATTAGTGCAACGCAACGATTTAACCAACGTGTAGAATAAAAAATAAAAATAACAAAATATTACTGAAAAACTTTTGTAACTTCAACTTTTCTATTTTCTTGTCTTCAAAATTCAAAATTTTTTAACTACACATTGGTTAATAATTATTTTAACCGCTGCCTCTTAATAATTCAATTAATTTATGAAACAAGTTTTTAACAGCTCTAACAATTCCTTTAACAATTTTGATTAAAACCATTCCGATAAAACCAATTATTCCAACAAAAACCACACATAAACCAATAAGATTCAACCATAGATACATTGCAATTACAAAATTTATAATTGATTGAAAATAAATGATTAAAAGTGCAGAACCAAATAACAAAACAAGACCAGCAATAACAACAATAACGAGTGTAACAAGATTTTTGACATCCTCTATTTCTCTTTGTATGCCAATTAAAACGCCTGATAAGTTAACCATTTCAAAATCAAGAACTGAATAAATTTTATTTAAACAAAAATTAAAGCTTTTTTATTTCGCCTTTCACTTTTTAAAATCAGTTTCTGCACACAATATGTGAGCTCACCCAAAGAGGCTATTAGAAACAAACCTACTATAATGCATACATATAGGAATTAGTGTTATTCACGGTACCGTATTACGGCGGTATTTTTCGGTAATACAGCGGTATTTTTACCGAAATACCGATACCGAATACGGTACCGAACAATTTTTAAAAAATCCGTATTTTTTCGGTATCGGTATTTTACCGAAAATACCGATACCGAAAAAACGCGTTTGAATAACACTAATAGGAATGTCACGAGTTACCCGAAACCCAGACTTTTCGACTCGAAACCGGACCCGATAAAATTTCCGAAACCCAACCCGAAACCCAACATTTTACATGGAATTTTATTCCATAAAAGAGAGAAATTTGACTTCCTAGCCTTCCAAAATCCGCAAAATTTTCCCGAAACCCGATCCGAAGAAAATTTAAAATTATATTTACCTTCAATGTTTCTTTCCATATTTTTAAAATTAATAATAAGGAAATTAAAATATTTATGTATACAGTGTGTCCAATAATGATACGTCCACTCTAATTTTTACCGATTTTGATTTATTATTGATATCTAATCTTATTTATATTTTTTATAATGTTGCATTGCACTAAATTATTACGATTAGAACTAATATTCTAAATTAGATATCTGTTTTTCAACTTTTTTAAATCATTTTATTCAAAAAAGGTGTCCAAAAATGATACGTCCACTTTCAAAAAACTGACAGAAATCATATTAGAGATGGCTGAAAATTTTTGCAAAAATTCCTGTGAATATTTCCACTGATAATAAGTAGAAAAATAAAAAGAACGAAGTCTGTAAGTGCTTTTGTGATAGAGATACAAAATCTCGAAAATCAACGGGAAATGGGGCTACAGTAACTAAAAATATTTTCACAAGTGTAGACTGTACATGAAATTTTTTATTATAGCCCATCTGAAAGCCCACAAAATTTGCTACAAAAAACACTTAGTCCTATCTTGGAGAAAAATTCTACCTTCGAGTAGACCAGGGTTAAATAAGAAGATGAATAAATTCACCCAAATCACCCCATAAAATGTCATTATTTCGAGTTTCTAAATTTAACCATAGTCTCCTCGAAGGTAGAATTTTTTTCCAAAATAGGACTAACTGTTTTTTGTAGCAAATTTTGTAGGCTTTCAGATGGGCTATAATAAAAAATTTTATTTACAGTCTACACTTGTGAAAATATTTTTTAAATAGATTTACCCCTGTTTTACGTTGATTTTCGAGGTATCGAGATCTCGAGTTCGGATAAAGTTATGGGCCTAGTTCTTTTTTATTTTTCATTAATATCGATATACATGTTTACTGGAATTTTTCTAGATTTTTCCTAAAGTTGTAAATACATTTTTTGTAAAGTGGACGTATCATTTTTGGACACCTTATTTTGATAAAATGATTATTAAAATTTTTCTGATAGATATTTAATCAGGAATACTAGTGCTAATCTTAATATTTTAGTACACTAGACTATTATAAAAAATATTAAAATGATTATATATCAATAACATATCAAACTCGGTAAAAATAGGGTGGACGTATATTTATTGGACACACTGTATGTATTATCTAATTAAAAAAAGTCAGAAAAATTTATTATATTTTTAAGTATTTAACGATTAGTTTTATATGAAATCCGCTCCAAAATACCTTGGCACCTCTAATTTTTCAGACAAGTCGTTTTAATTTTTTAAGATATTTATTTAGGAGAAAAAACTACCTTGTTTTGCAAAAAAATTTTAGTAAATCAATAATTTTATCAAAAATTATGAAAAATTTCCAAAAAATGGGGTGTTTTTTTCAGATTTTTTTCAGACATTTTTTTTCAGACAAAAGAGGTGTCGAGTTATCTTGGAACGGACTTTAGTTATTTTATTATATTTGTAAAAATATTTATATATTAATTATTGTCAAGTTTGGTGAATGATTTTGGAAATGAGGGAATGATTTGATTAATTTACATACATATCTTCCTTTTTTGGCACTCCTTTTTTAAGTTAAGAGGTCAAATTTAATTGAATCGTCAGACATATGTATTATTCAAAAATGATGGTTTCGTCTTAGAAAGAAAAAAAGAAAACTCCAATATTAATCATTAGGGATTGGAGTTTTTTTTATTGGGGTTTTTTCTTTCTTCTCATTTTTATTTTTCTGATGAAATTTGATGTGAAGTTATTGTCACCTATTTTAATTGTTTTTTATATTTTTATCACCATTTTGGATATTTTTATAAAAATACATTTTTTTTCTCAAAAACTTGAAAAACTTAAATAATTTTTCAGAAATTTTGTCAATTTTCCTATCACTCTGCAAAAATTTTACAATTAAAAAAAATATTTTGCAAAAATTCAAAAAATTTTTCTTGATTATTATTTTCATGTGATAATTTTAAAAAATGAAGATTTAGTTACCTATTTTTTTAGGTTTTTACAACCTAAATATCCGATCCCTATTAATCACTCATAGTTTAAAGTTTTTTTGCTAATTTTTTTCTACCAGTCTAAAATAACACGAAAATAGCCAAGTAATTAAACAAACAATGAAAAATTCAAAAACTTTTTATTATTTAAAAACATTAATATTATCTTCATTAGAAGCTATTCACAACACAAAATTGAAGATTGTAAGAAAAAAGCTTTTTTCAAATAATTATTTTTTAATACTAAATTCTTTTAATTTCTAATAAATACTAAATATAAATCACAAAACAATAACTACACAATTTTAAAAGTCTAATAGGAATTTTTTTAGTCTTAAACAATACTTACTATTAATATAGTATATTCACCTATTATGTCTTTGAGTATTATAAAAAAAGGAATGTTTTTTTCTTCTTTAATTTTATTTTTCATTCAAATTTTCTTGTTTATTTTGTAAATTTCTAAGAAAATATAAATTATGTCGACCTTTTGCTACAATAGATCCATCACATTTTTTAATAAAAGTAGCCTCAGTAAAAGCCATCATCCACCCAATTTTTAAACATTTTCCTTCCACCAAAATTTCTTCACCAATTTTTGCCGGCAAAAGATAACTAAAAATTAGAATTTTGGAAAAAGAAATTATTTTTTTAATTTTTTTAACCTAACAGAAAGGTCAACAGAAACACGAGGACAAGATTCAGTCATTTGAACAGCTCTAGATGTTACTAAAATTTAAATAATTTTTTTAATTAGAGAAAGAAAAACCTAAATCAGCAATTGATGCAGTAAACCCCCCATGCAGTGTTCCTTTTAATTAAAAATTTATTTAAATATTTTCAAAAATATATTTACCTCCATTATTTAAATGTTCCTCACCAAGAATAATTGAAATTACAAGAAAAGGAGGTTCTGCACACAAAACATTAATCTAAATTTTAAACAAATATATTTTGGTGACAAAATTTGCTAATAAATTACGGAGGAAGAGTAAATTAAGGAGCTCTATTCTATATATCGACATCCTTATATATTTTATTACTTTTTGTATTTCGTAAAATTTCTTTATTTAATTTTCATAGATTACTTTAAAAAGAGGGTTAAGAACATATAAAAGCCTAAAAGTTTTCTTATACATATATTCTTAAAGGGGAAAACGTCACCAAATTTTTTAAAATTTTACATTTTTCAAATTTTTGTAAAAATTATTTTTTCCACTCATACTAGCAAATATTCCCTTCATTTTTTCCAAATAAATTCCACCACCATCAATAGCTAGAGAAGGCCAAATAATTTTTAAATCTTTTATCTTTTCTTCAATAATTCCATTAATTTTTGGTTTTTCTTGTCTTGTTTTGTCTGATAAAATGGCTAATTGTTGTTTTGCTGTAATTAATATTAAATTGTCTGAACGGCGATAAAAACAAGCATTTGTAAATGCTATTGATTTTCCAGCTTTTACACAATTAGCTTCGATAAAAACATTTTCTCCGATTTTTGCTGCAGATAAATAACTAAAATTAAAAATTAGCAAAAGCAGAAAAGACAATGCCCAAAAATTTTAGTTCAAAAATGTTAAGTGTAAGGTCCTGCTCTTAAAACTAAACAAACCTGACAGCCAATTCAATAGAAACAATTCGACTTTCGGGAAGTACCAATTTAACACAAGTTGCCGTCAAGACATCCACTAAAGCAGCCAACAATCCCCCATAAATTGTTCCTTTATCATTAACATGTTCTTCTAAAACAGTAAATTCAGCAGTTAATTTCCCTTCATTATTTGCAGACAAACTACGAATCTTTAAATTTTTTTTAAAATAAAATAATTTTAAAGAAAAACCCCTTTCATTATCCGATTGAAATTTGCACCTCTCCCCATTGAATCGTATGCTTCTTGGACCCTTTCAACTAATGATTGTTGCCCATCTTGTATTTCTGAACTCATTCCTTATAAATTATAAAAATATATTATCAAATTAAATTCAATAATTTACCTTATTTTACAATAAATGTTCTTATCAAACAATAGGTGGACTTATTTAAGGGTGGACTTATTTAACACTAAGATCCACAAACCAAAAAACGAAAAGCGTGACAAAAATTTTTTTAGATATTATGTCATTTATAATAGGAAATCAAATTGTAAAAACTCTATTAATCTACTCACGCTTCGGTCATAAGTGACAAAAACTCAAAATGGTCACAAAGAATAACACGGTCAAAAGGATATAAGGGGCTAATCAGCTGTACTTATTGTTTTAAATAATATTTTAAATTCAATTTATGTATTTTTATTTATAAATGGCAAATATTAAACGATATATTAAAGTAAAACGTTTTTGTTAAATTTAACAAAAATATCGATAGCGGATTTTCCTTTACAAATAATTTTTCCCTTCATTCTTCCTCATTTCAATTAACAGGCTTTCCACAACAGGACCATACATAATTTTCACCACAACAATTACTAGCTTTATATCCTGGGGATGACACACATTTTGCCCTCCCACAACTACATTTTGCCGCTGTTTTACACAATTCTTTTCCAATTGTTTCCCAGGGCCATTCAAAACGTTTTACACGATTATGCTCTTCTTCATTTATTGCTTCAATCGAAATTGATGCTAATATTAAAAAAAGAAATAAAATCATTTTTAGATTAAAAATTGTATTTAACTCAATTTAATGTAAAAAGAAATTGGTGATTTTTAGAAATTGAGAGAATTTCCTCTTTTTATACTAAATTTGTAATCCAAATTTGTTTACAAAAATCTTTAAAAATTTTTTTCAATGGATTACTCATTTTTTGATTTTTATTATGAAAAAAAGTAATACTTTTATGGAAGATGCACATTTATTTTTGAATAGAAAACAATTTAAAATTCTTCGTTAAATTGCTTACTAAGTAAAAATTGGGGGTATTTTATTCTATTTTCTCGTGTTTTTTATTTCCTTTTATAGCAATTTTTAAACGTAATCTCCTCAATGATTTTGAAAAAAATACCCAAATTTAAACCTTACTAATAAAAACAGTCATAAATACTTTTACACAATTTGTTTATAAAAAAAAACTTTTAATAAACTTTTAGTAAACCGTCTCCCTAATTTAAAAATAATTATTTAGGTAAATTCCAAAGCTGGGACAGAAGATTTAATTTGTAAAATAATTAATTAGAAAAGCTACATATATTGAAGACAAAAACACGGAAAATAAAATTTAATTTTTATTAAATAATTAACACAATTGACAATTACATACTTTTATGAAGTTTAGAATATTTAAATTTTCTTACAATTAGTGAAATAAATTAAAATAAATGTTAAAAAATTAATTTTAAATTTAACTTCAAATTAACGAACAAAAACATTTCTTTTTATTTCTCTCATATTCTCTTATATCTCATTTATTCACTCAACTTTTGACTCATATATTCTATGCTAATCTCCACCCCTGAAAATTAAAAAAAAATAAAATTTTTGGTAAAATAATTGAGTTTTCGGTGTGAACAAAATTAAAAGATATTTAATATTTTTTTCTATTTATTCAACAATTTTCTGTTACAAAAACAGTAATTTTTTAGAATCTTTTTTATTACTCTCAACATATTTTGGAATCTTTTAGGATTTGTTTTTATTAAATATTAGATAATAATTACATTTTTTAGCATCTTCCAACGTTTCCTTCATATTTTCCACAATTATTTTTTCATCAGTAACAAGATGAGAAAGAGCTGCTATTAAAAATTCAAAGAATTTAATTGTTGGATATCCCGATTCAATTATTTCTAGAGAATTTAATGCATTTACAAAAAGTTCTTCTTTGCCGTCTTCCTAATTAAAAAATAATTGTTTAAATTTCAAAGTTGGAAATGAGTTTAAATATCACTCAAACATAAAAGATTTGTTGTTCATAATGTTTTGATCTTGTATTTATAATGGTGACCTGATCCGCTGTGATCTTCACAGCGGATAAGTTATATTTAAATTTATGTACTTGAGAAGCGACGTAGAAGGAGCTGAGGAAATTTCCCTCCTCCACCGTTGAATTACCGAGAGAAATGAGGAAGACTAATAAGATAACACCTTCCTTAAATTTATAAAACTTTTGCCTTTTTAATATTAACAATATCACGCAAATATTCCTCAATTTCCTCTATTTGCCCTCCATCTTTTTTCAAATAAATTAAATTTTTATTATCACATATTTTATTTTTATTTTCAATAATTCTATCACTTTCATGTAAAGCAACTAAAAGTTCTATTGCTTTGGGAAAGTTAACTTTTCGCTGTTCAGAAAGAGTTAATTTATTCATAAATTTAGCAATCATTTTAATATTTTCCAAATCATTTAATTTTAACCCTTTTGGTAGTGATGCTTCCAATTTATTTTCAACATTCTTCACTTCCTCAATATTCTCCTTTTTAACGTTACTTTTTTGTTGTTCATTGAAATTTAATTTATTCATAAATTTAGTAGTCATTTTAATATCCTTCACATCATTTAAATTTAATCCTTCAGGCGGCAATTCTTCTTCCAAATTATTATTTTTATTCTCAACATTCTTCACTTCCTCAATATTATTTTTCTCTTCTTCTTCTTCAAAATTTTTATATAATATTTTGTCTAATTCAATTGTCAAAGAATTAACCAAATCCTTTTGCTCCTAATTAATTATTAAAATTAAATTTCAGAACAGGGGAAACCAAATAGCCCTTCCTTCCTACCTGTGTTGACTTTTCCGTTTCAATTTCATCTTTTCCTTTTGTCATTTCAATTATTTTAGAAAAAGGATTGGAAGAATAAACTTTCCCTTTTTTGTAAATATTTTTATTTGCCATATTTAATTCTTCCAAACGTTTATTCAAATTAAAAGAAATTTTTGGATTTTTTGGTGAAAATAAAGAAGAGCTAATCACTTAAATAAATTTTTAATTGAGAATTAATTTTCGAATTTAATTAAGAAATGACTTTTGATAGAAATAAAAAATAAATTTTTGAATGAGGGAAATGTTTTAATTAATTATTTGTTAGACGAATATCCGAGTTTTTTTATTAAAAAATAAACATACTTGGAGAATTACGATAACACAAAAGTGTTGGATTTATTTTTGTTGAATCAGAAAAAGCCAACAAAATTAAAATAATACCTCCAATAATTAAAGAATATAACATTTTAATTAAATAATTAATTAAATATATTTTTTATTTAAATTTTAACTTTATTTATATATTTAAATATTCAGACAATGATTTAATTAAAAATATTTTTTCATTATCTTGAGTAATTAAATAATTAAAAAATGCAAAATATTACATAAAGTTGCACTTTTCCATTCAAATGCACTTTTGATAATTATGTTAAAAATTAATTTTTTAATTATGAATTATTTAGAAATAAATTTAAAATATTAAAAAATGCACTATTCAAATTTATTTAGAATCATTTTGAAGTAAATTATCTATAGATTTTTGTCATTTTTGGGGATTTCTTGTATTTTTGTAAAAGAATTTTCAGAACACAATCAGCTTCTTTCGCACTAACCAAAAAGAAGTGAGGAACTGCTTTTTTGAACTTGTTTTGTTTCAGTATAAAAGTTTTAAATCTTAAAAATAAATCTTAAAGTACTACAAGTAATTTTGATATTTTATTCAAAATATTAATGTGTCGTTATTGGAAGAAATCCTAATCCGTAATTATCAAAAAAAAATTCGAAAATTTTAATTTATTTCAGACAAAATAAAATATAAATAGTAAAAAGAGATTTTAATTTATTCTAATTATTTTCATTCTCTTTTTCTTCTTCACAACAATTTTCAATTAAAATTGGATCTATTCTAAATTGTTCCAATCGAATATCAGAATTATTCCATCCTTTAAAATTATTTACTTTTTTAAGGAATTTTCCAACAATTTTAGTCCCTACAAAAAAATAAATATTTTTTTCTTTTTAATTAATTAATTTAATTTACATTGTTTTGCAATATTTATTCGAGCAATTAATTTATTTATATATTCTCTTCCATTTTCATTATCAGAGAAACATAAAATTGCAATTTCAAATAATTGAATAAGTTCATCTCCAGAACTGAGCAAATTTAAAACTTTGGAAGTTTTTAACAAAATGTCTTCATTTTCCTTTAATTTTAAAATTAAAAATATGAACAGATATTTTAATTGGAATGACATAAATCTAAGTGAGGGGAACTCAATAAATAAAATTTGTGAGGGAAGATGAATTAAAATTAGTCTAAACTCTAAAAGCTTTTCTTCCAATTCAGAGCTACTTAGAAAACATTATGTATTTCTGGGAAATTTTATTTAAATATCTCCTCTAAATACATAATTCCAATAAAAACCTCCTCAATTTCCAAAACATTCCAAAAATTAATTTTTAATTCATCCAAAGTCCACCGATTAAGTAATTCTTTTTCTTCTTCCTTTTCCCCCTCAATTCTTTTTAAATAATTAAAAACACTACAAAGAAAATTGGCATTCTGTAAAATTCTGTCACTTTCCCTCAAAGCAATTAATAATCCAACAGCTTTTTTTAAATTAACATTTAAATGTTCTTTTAATGTTAACCAACTAAACAATTCAGAAATTAAAATAACATTAGCTCTTTCTTCTTTATTTAATTGTTGTCCCCAATCATTTGTCCCCTCCAATTTCTCATTTAATTTATAAAGTTGAAATTCCCAAACAAGTATTTTGGCTATTTTATTAGATTTATTTAAAAATGAATGGGAGGGATAGTCTTCTTTATCTTCTCCTTCTTCTTCTGTAGGGTAATTATTATTATTCCAACAAGAAGAAGAAATTTTTGATTTTTTAAAATTTTTTGGAAAAATTGAAGGAAATTTATTTAAATTTTTGAATTTATTTTTTGTTTCTGATGAATTTATTTTTAAAGAAAATATTTTTGGAGGGTTATTTTTTGTTTTTAAAGAAGGGAAGGGAAAGGAGTGGGGATTGCTGTTGTTGTTGATGGATGTTTTTAATTGTGGTGGGGCTAAAAATAAATAAAAATAAATTTTTTGGAAGGGAACTTGAATAAAAATACCTAAATAATTTTTTGTTTGTAAAGCTGGAAATATTCCACAATCAACAAAAACAATAAACAAAAAAACAAAAATAAAAATTATTGTAATCAAATACATTTTTTGTTTAAAGAATTTAATTTTTAGGTAATTCAAAAGAAATTTTAATTTAAATTAATATTTAATTAAATCTAGGGAATTATATTTAATTTATTTATTTAATTATTTCTTCCATTTAAATATCCCCCCTCCCTCCATTTAACAGACATTTCAATTAATTACTGTAATCCCTGTCAAATAAAAAAGATATAAAATTAATTAAAGATTAAACAAGAAAAGATAAAAACAAAATTTAGACAATTTATTTTTGTAAATTACATCAAACAAAAATATTTAAAAGTGCTACAATAAGCTTTTTTACGTCATTTCTGCTTCCATACAGTAACCAAAAAAGCACTTTTTATTTATTCTCGTTAATTATGAAATTAATTATTTAATTTTTTTAATTAAAAATTAATTTCTAAAATTAATTCTTTTCAATCCAAAATTCCCTTCCAATTATTTTCCAGGCCACGGATCTTTATCGCAACATCCATAGCAACAAATTACTGTCCGGACAAATCTATGCAAATCCTCATTAGGTGTTTCGATATAAACTTTAATTTAAAAATAAATTTATTTATTTATTTTTAAATTACCTGGAATTAAAAATATATTTTTAAATAATAAAAACATTAAAATAATTAAAATACCAACAGATTTGGAAAGCATTATTTTATAATTTTATTTTTAATTTATTTTAAAGTTTGTTCATTTAAATAGAAACAAAAATGTTATTTTTTTAACCCGCGGCGTAGGGTCGCCTCGGCGCTGCCGTTACGATGGTTACCTAACCACCTTCTTATGATACGGGCCCAGATTTGGAAAGCATTATTTTACGAAAAGTTTTGTCTTTTTAATTTATTTTAAAGTTTGTTCATTTAAATAGAAACAAAAATGTTATTTTTTAATTAAAATATTAGTAATTATTTGGATAATTAATTACTAATTAATTAATGAAAAAAATGTTTGAAAAATTTATTGAAAGTGGTTGGTACTTTGTAGGAAATTAATGAATGAAATAATTTAAATAAAATAAGTACATTAGTAAGAAATTAATTTTAGTGAATTAATTTTTGGAGTATTTAAAGATATATATTTATTTTTCTTTAACAAAATTGTTTCCAAAAATAATTTTTTTAATTAAAAAAAATGAATAAATTTATTATTTTCCAATTTTTTGTTTTAATTCAATTATTTTTATTTTATGAAGCTTTTCTGACTGAAAACAATGCTGAATTGGCTGAAGTTGAAGTTTTGTAAGTTTAAAATAATTAAATATTCTTTTTTTTATTTATTTAGAGATCCAAATGTTCGTTTACGTGCAAAACGTTTATGTACGGTTATGTTTTGTTATGACCGTTGTCCGGGTGTAATTACTAAAAATCCATGTTGAAATTAAATAATCTAATGAGAAAATATTTATTTTATTTTTACTTTTATGTATTTTGTTTTTAAAATATATTTAAATTTATAATTAAAAGCAAAGTTTGGGCTGAAAGTAAAAACTTCTTCATTATTGTTTTTATCGACGTTAGTGTCACATTTAGAGATTGGAAAATATTAAACACAAAGTGAATTTGAAGTTAGGAAATACACAAAAAAATACTCGGTCGAATTTGAATTCCAAATACTAAATTTGTTCATGTTTAATCACAATCAAATCACCAAATTGGGTTTATTAGATGTCATGGTGTTTATACACATAATTGCTTTAAGAAGCATAGTTTACATTTACGCAACTTTATTGAATGCTCATTAATTTAAAAATTATTAATTTAATTAAATGTGAAATGTCAAATTAAATTTAAAAAAAAAGTAAAAAAATTAAAAGATATTTTTAAATAAGAATGTTCAATGAACTTTATTTTTAATTAATTTTTTATTAATCTTCTTTTTTTCCCCCAAAATAACAATTTTTTACTTCAATTATTCTTCTATTTTTGTTTATTAAAATACCAACGATATATCAACCAGCCTTCATTTTCAGTTAAATTTTCAGCATTTAATGATTTAAAGAAAGAATCAACTATTTTATTTTCCTCATTTGTTTCCCATTGAATTTTATTTGCTTCCATTTTTTGTGCAATATTAACCAATTCTGCCATTATTGAAGTCCCAATTCCCTTTTCTTTTTCAGAATCCACAACAAAAATATTGTCCAAAATAAGGAATCGTCCTTGCCACGTCGAATAACCTTTTCTATTAAAGAATGTCATTCCCATAATTTTATCATTTTCCTTCTTCTTTACAACAATAACTCCTAGAAGGCCAGAATTTAAAAGTTTTGCTAATGACGGGAGGAATTTATTGTTCTCCTCTTCTCCATTCTTTTGTGATTTAATTAAATTATTCCATTGTTCCGCAAGGTAAAAAGAATTACTTTCAGAGATTTCCCCATTATCCAAATAAATTTCTTTTATCAATTTTTCGTCACTTTCCTTTTGTTTTGCTTCCTTTTGTAAAACATAGTCAAAAGATTGAGCAGATAAACGCCATAAACTACATTTAATTTTTTCTTTCTCGTCAGTCTCATCAATTAATCCAGAAAGTTTTTTATAAAATTTAATTGCCCCATAATTAGAACGCAATACTTGCCATTCAATAAAAGGAAGGTTTTCGGTATAAGCTATTTTAGCTAATTCTTCTAACAATAAAAATCCAATCCCTTTTCGACGAAACTGTGGGCGAATGTAAAGATCCTCAAGGTGCATTATTTGACCTAAGCAAGAGTTAATGTTTATTGTAGCTATTATGGAATTATGTACAGATATTTTCTTTTTGTAATTAAGTTTAAAAAGTTTTGAGTATTTAGAAGATTTAAAAGTTTTGCTAATGACTGTTATTGAGGAACTTTAATTAATTTTAAATTTTAGGTAACAAATTAACGAAATTGTGTCTTGTATAAAGACTTTACTTTTACCTTTACCTATACCTTTAGTACTGGATTCATATAGATAGTAAAGAGCATAAGCTGCCACTTCCCCATTATCTCCAAAAGCTATCAATGAATGCAAAAACCCGGAATTTAAATCTTTTTCTATTTGTTCGGCAGAAATTCGAATTGTTTTGGACATTTTATGGAATTCTGCCAATTCTTTAATTAATGAGAATAAAGCTTTAGCATCAGAAGATTTTGCCAATCTAATTTTTATTTGCTTATCATCACTTCCATTATTTATTACAAAATTATTTTTATTTAAAGAATTAACAGAAAATAATTTTGGAAAATTTTTATTTTTACTATTTATTCCCAAATAATTTAAATTTAAATTATTATTTAAAATTTTATTATTTTTTATTCCATTTACAACAAAAGATGGACCAAACACTTAATTAAAATTAGGAGATTACAAATTCTATTAAATAAACATACACAAAGATTTATTATACAAAAGTGCTTGGTTTCCAGTTGCTTGACAAACAATTAATATATTAATTGAAATAATTAAACAAAGAAATAAAAAATACATAAATAATTATTTATTTATTTTAAATAAAAAATTAATGAGGATAATTAATAATAACCATAATTTTTATCCCCCCCCCCCCCTATACAAAAATAAAATGTGATACGCACAAAAGGACATGCCAACTTATTTAATTTTATTTGAGTAAAGCCCGCGCGCGGCCATAAGATCTTCAATAAAATGCTTCAAAATTTCCGAATCTTAACAAAATTAGTATTAAACAATTACTCTCAACGAGCTGAAGAGATTGGTACCAAAATTGATAAGTGCCAGAAACTTTCTAGCTATTTATGGCTTTGCGTCGTTATGGCCGGCGCCATTTTGTGCATGTCACATTTTATTTTTGTATAAGGATAAACATTGATCTTATTTTGCCTCTTTTAGGCGGCATTAAAGTGCATTAATAATTGTGATGGGTATTTTTAAATATTGAAAAAGTGCAAAATTATTTTAAAATATTTTTTCTTTAAATTTCTTTAAATTTCTTTGAATTATTTTTATTTTTTTAAAAGTTTCAAAAGAAGCTTTTTTTCAATTATTTTAAAATATGTATGTACTATGAATTTAAAATATGTATGTACTATGAATAATATGTATGTACTATGAACTTGTATAGAATAATAAATTTTAGTAAACCTATAGAATTATTTATTTATTTTTCAGAAAAAAATACTTTTAAGCGAAATGTCAGAAAATTCTGAATTACTTAAAAGACTCGATCCTTTTGATTATTTTAAAAAATTTCTCGTTGAAGGAATTTACCCTGAAGGAAGGACAATTAATTCATTTCGAGATTCTTTAATTGAATGTAGAGGGAATGTAAGTGATTATCAGGTAATTGTTTTGTTAAAGTTTTTCTGAAATTAAAAGGAAATTTTTTAAAAAGTCTTGTGTAAATGTTCAACAAGGAGGGACTTTTATTTCTTGCAATGTTAAATTGAGTTTGGGGCCGGATTCTGATGATTCTGTGTTTAAATGGGAAATTGAAGCAATGGAGAGTGTTCCGAAGGTTTTTGATTTTTTTTGGAATTTTCTAAAATTAACTAGTTTATACTTTATTTTCTTAGGATTTATTAGAACATTCAAAAGCCCATTTACGTGTATTACTTGGAAGTGATTCTTGTCTTATTTCTCCAGAACAATTGATTGTTTTTACTCAAAATGAAGGGAAAAACTCAAAAAAATTTCAACTTAGATGGACTTTACATTTAAAAATAATGGTTTTTTTAGTTTATTTTTTAGGCTAATTGTGTTACTCTCTTGTAAAGTTACAGGCAATTATTTCTTAAAATCCAGCAAAATTTATATTTTTTGGGGATTTTCTCGAAAACTTTTCCTCTGTTTTTCTGCCTTAAAATTTCTCTTTTTATTTTTTAGGTTCTCAGTTGGGATGGTTTTCTATTAGATGCAATATTAACAGCTATACAAGCTTCTCTTTTAAATACACGGTTTTTATTTTTTTAATTTTAAAAAATTCTTTTTTAGCCTTCCAACTTTTATTGAATACAAAACTTCAACTTTATCTGAAACTTTATTTGCTGAGGATGATGATTTTTTACTTGGAGAGGAAATTCCTTTAGAATTTAATATTGAAAAGGTTTTTTAATTTTGCAATTAAAATTTGGAATTTATTAATTTTTGGGGACTCGTCTGAAGAATTTTCTTTTTTTTGTTCTGATTTTTAGGATTTTCCCGTTCTGTTAAATCTATAACCTATTTTTTATTTTCTAATTCAAAAATTAAATATTTTAATTTCTTTTATTTTTAAGGTCCGGATTATTAAACCTGAATGTGAAAATAAGCCGTTAAAGCTAGAAAAAATATTAGCTTATTTGCCTTTTTTGCTTTGTACATTTGAAAATCAAGAGAAAAAACAAGTAAAAATACTAATTTAAATTTGAAAAAAAATTCTTTTTTTTTTCAAAGCGTTTTCTTCTCTGTGATCCCCCAGCAGATTTATGCAAACTTTATAATAATGGTTTTTGTGAAATTATTATTGGACCAAATGGAAATATTAATTTATTAAGTATGTGTTGTTCACCTTCATTTTCAAAGTCTTATCCAAATGATATTGATGGAGAATTGTTAAATGAGGTAACTATTGTTGAATAATTGTTTGGATTTGTTGGGGGAGGGGAGGGGGCAGGCTTTAGTACCAAAAATTTTCTCTCAAATATATTTCTACTTTTTGGACATTTATCGAAATTTCTCCCACATTTTAAAACCTGTCCCGATTCTCTCAAAAATTTGGGGCTTTGACATAATTTGGGTAGTCTTCAATTATTTTTTACATATAAAATTTATTTTTATTTTTTTTAGATTATTAATATTGCTATCAAAAGACATCTATTTGTTAATAATGCTTTAAACAAGTGTATCCTTTGAAGTTTTATTTAATAAATTTTTGTTGAAATTTTTTGAAAATATTTCATTTTATTCTTTCATTCTTCCTGCCTTTTTAATCTTTTCTGCATATTAGAAAAATACAAATAGTAATTTAAAGGGTGTTGAATTTAATGGAGAATCTAGTTTTTTTACTCTCTAAAATTATTTATTCACAACTTTCTGGGCAAGATGCTTTAAGTGAAAGATAAATAATTATTTGTAATTTCTCTCTAGCTTCTTTACATTTTCCCTTCACATTTCCAATATTCCCACATATAGGTTGATCTCTTAAAAATATTTTTTCTTTTAAATCAAGGTAAGAAAAAAACTTTTTCCTTAGACAACAAATTTTGCAGGTTTTGGCACATTTAAATGAATAAGTTTGCCAATCTTTAAATTCAAATTAAATTATTGAAAATAAAATTAAAAATTAGCGATTTAGATATTTCCGGGTTCGGAACCTATAGCCGGGTTATCTGGTGAGTTATAGATTCACAAAACATGGGAATTACTATTTTAAATCGCTCACTTTGATCGTTCTCGCATCGGTCCTCGTTAACAACCCCGTTAGTGTGAAATACAAGTTGACATTGAGAATCAGAATAAAATTCATTTTGGCAATTATCCGCACCTGGACCAACACAGAGCATACCAAAAGTTGATAAAAATAATTGAAAAATTAAAAATAAATAGAAATTAAACATTCTTATTTTTTAATACACAAGGATTAATCGAAAACTTATGGAAATGCTAGACTTAATAAACTTGGATTTTTTTTAAATAGGTAAATTAAACTTTGGCCTCTTCAAATATTAGTCCATTTTAAGCTTAAATTCAAAGATTATTTTCCTCTTCCAAATATTCTTATTTTAAATTACCAGAGTAATACACAAAACAAATATTCCTGAGTTTCTATATTAGGCTAATTAAAATTATAGGTGTGACAATATTTCACTTGGAAATTTTGATAGTTCTATGAATAAAGAATTTCAGTTCAAAAATCAAAATATTATAAAAAATTTTTTAATCTCCGTGGGTTCTAAAAATTATTCTAATTAGGCATTCTCTGCGCTCGTACTCGTTAAGAGTTTAACTATTTTCTATCTCGAATTTTGACTTTGTCACTTTTCAAGTACATAAATAACCTTCTTAATCCTTTCATTCAAACAAAAAATATCCATATCAAAAGCTTTTTTTAAACAATTTGGTAAATATATTGACAAGGGCTAAAATAAAACCGGTGGAACAAACAAAATAAATTTGTGGCAAAAATAGAGAGGGTAACACGCACATATTTTTGTGCAATCATTTGATGAGGTCGAAATAAAATATTTTCTTTGCAATCCCTCAGAAAACTGTCACAACAAAATTAACATGTCTAGCCACCCCTCAATTTTTATTGCTCATTATTACGTTTTGATCCGTGCCGGTCTTTCTATAAAAATTGTAAAATGAAAATTAAATTTGGAGGATCTCATTCCATGTCTGGATTTGAGCCCTAATTTCTATTAATTCAGAATTAATGTAAGGTCAATACATTCTTCAAGTGAATGATTTTTTTACTTAAGCCATCATAAATCAAAATATTTATCTCAGGTTCTTAAGATAGATGGGTAAAAATCAAAAAAACTCAAAGAAATTTTTTTCCCCATTTCAAGCCTCATTTTCCCTTCAAATTATAAAAAAATTAAAATTAACATTGTGTTCAGGTCGATTTCCATGCCTAGGAGCATTCCCGATTGCCAGCTGATTGAATAACTCTAAATCAATATCTCCTCGGCTGTCAGTTCTTTCAACTTCTTGATGTTGAGTTTCACCTGAATCTTTTAAATTTTGTATTGAATTCCTAAATTAAAAAAAAATAAAAACACAACTACGTTTCCTGTGATGCAAATTCTGAACTTCAGCTTCCTGAGGTGGAGAAAGGCTTTGAACTCGAGATAGCAAACGCTTTTGACCACAAAGTGTGCATTTTGTTGCTTTTGGCCAATTGTCGAATGTACTGAAAAAATTTTTTAAGAGAAATTAATTTTTAAAGGATTTTTATGATTTTAGCTAAATCTATGGTCAAAACTTGTATATAGGAAAAAAATAAGGCCAGTTTTTGACTTAAAATTTAGTCCAAAGACAGATCAAATTTTAAAAAAATAACGGCATTTAAAATTAACTTTAAAAATTTTTTCAACTAACCAACTCTGACAAGTCCATTTATTAAGTGCACGAGAAATTGAATTATTATCCTTGTGCGGTTGAGTATGAATAATAGTCTGCTTAATTGGAATAACTTGGTTGTTGATAAATGGTGGAGTTGCATAACGAAGTGGTCTATCAGTATTACATTGAATGCAACGCTTTGTACGCTGACAATTCATATATGTACCTAAAAAACAAAACAAGATTTAAATTCCGTTTTAGTAAAGCTAATTGGAAATTTAAAAAAAAAGAAAACACGGAAGTGATTCCAACATATCCATTAACTGGACTTGTTGCCTAAAACAATTAATATCCAAGCCCAGAATTTTTCAAATTATTTAAATTTATTTGGTAATATTTAAATTTGACATAAAAATTATATGTAAAAATAAAAAAAAATAAATATTTACATGTTGGACAAGGCCAACGGAGTTGTTCATCGTGAACGATTGAAGTTTTCACTGGAGACTCATTAGCAGGACAAAGTTCTAAAATTCACAATAAAAATTATTAAAAACAAAAAACCTTCAATAAGCATTGGTTTATTCCGAGGTTGATAACACAAAACACATTTAATGCTAGCATCCCAATTGAGAAAAGTGCAATAAGTGCAAGCCCACTTTTTTGGAACAGAGTCGCCTTTGGAGGAACTTTCAGCCATATTTTTTGTATTTAAAAAATAAAACAAATATATTTTATTTAAATAACAAAATAAAAGGTTTACTACTTAAAAAATAAACAATTAAAAATAAAATCGAGAAAATCATTTAGATACCGCGTGAACAACAAATTACCTAAATCCCTCTTTTTCTCTAGCTGTCTCTACTTATTTATAACACTATATCCACTTTGAGTTTTATTTAACTGGAAGAGTATTCCACGTTTTTGATAGGTTTATTAGCTGAAGATATTCTTCTTTTGTCAAAATCTAGATCAAAAAATTATGAACGGTGAACTACTATTGTACTCTAATGTTTTAACTCAATTTTACAGAAAGGTGAAAAATAATGGGAGCGGTTAGAGAAATAAAGAGAGACGAAATAGTAGGTAAAAATTTTCGCGTTCTGCAGCTGCGGTTAGACACGATTCCGTGCGCACGATTCCGTGCACACGTTTCCGTGCACACGATTCCGTGCAGGCACGTTTCCGTGCGGGCACGATTCCGTGCACACGTTTCCGTGTCCGTTATAAAAAACACGTTTCCGTGCCCAATTATTTAAATATTTTTATTTTTTTAAATTTTTATAAAATTTTAAATATTTTTTAAGTATTTTAATCCCCCTTGTAATCAACTTATCAACTTTGCTTCAGTATTTTTCTTTTCAATTCAAAAAATTTACGCGGAAAAAAGTTTTTGCCGCTGCGGAGGAAGCCGGGCATGTCGAGCGGAACGACGGCCGCCGCTTCGCTACGGTCGCCGCGAGCGAAGCGAGCACGACCGCAGCGAAGCACGGCCATCGTGTAGCGAAGACCATGCCCGGCCTACCCTCCGTAGCAGCACAAAAACGGTTTTTCCAGCGAAGATTCTGTTAGTCATAGGCTAGAAGCAGGGTTCTAATTTTTTCAAAATAAAAAATTTTTTTTAGATTTTTTCCTCCATATCCACCAATATCCCCTTGTTGATGTCTCGATGTCATGCACAAGTCCCTATATATTCAATGTACCCCTCAAAACCTTTTCTTATTGTTTATTATATTAAAAAGAAATTGGGCACTGGAACGTGTTTTTTATAACGGGCACGGAAACGTGTGCACGGAAACGTGTGCACGGAATCATACCCCACCGCTGCAGCTGAGTGAAAATTGCAATAAAATTTCGGCGTTGTTGCGTATTTCTGATTTACTAAACTTTTAATTGTTTAAATTCAAGAACTTTACTTTAATAGATCTTAATTTTTTCTACAAACATTTCTCAATATTCACGTTATGTTCGAACAATCACAACACAGTTCTTCTATAACTCCTTCATTGTCTGATAATAGCATTTCTGGGATGACTAATACTTCAATGTTAAATTCACAAACATTGGAAGAGTATTGTTGGTATTGGGGTGCAGCAACTAAAGAAGAAATTAGTGCTGCGATGGAAGTGAAATTTTAAATTTCAACTGGTTTATATCCTTTTTTATTTGACAGAATCAACAAAATGGTACCTTTGCTGTACGAGATGCTTCAACAAAAGGGCAATATACTTTAACTTTGCGTATTGATGGAACCAACAAACTTATCAAAATTCTTGTAAATTATTTCTATTTTATTAAATCAATTTTCTTTTAAGGTAGAAAATGGCAGATGTGGATTTACTCAAGATTCTATGGATTTTGATTCTATGGCCAGTCTTGTTCAATTTTATCAAACTTGCTCTTTACGAGATTTCAATGAAAAACTTGATACTTGTTTGCTCTATCCACTTAAATCGCCACAATCATTAACTTGTCAGAATTCATTGAAGGTTCATTGGTTTTCATTTATTCATAATTATTTTTTTATTTTTCAGTCAGATTCAACGATAGATCCCTCTTATCGTGTCAGTTTACTTAAATGTACATTTGAGGTCCTAAACTTTATTTAGCTGCAACAATGTTTTTCTTTCAATCTTTAGGCTATTCATGCTGAATATGATCGTGTTTCTAGACGTTATGATCAGTTATTTAATCAGCAATTAGCGTTAAATGAAGAGTACAATCGGAAACAACGTACAGAATCTGCCTACGCCGATGCTTTGAAAATATTTGAACGGAAAATTGCTGAATTGAAAACGTATGGAATTTTTTCGACTCGAAAAAATTGCTAGAAATTCTTATTTTAGCACAATATCTGGAGAAAAAGATCTCAATGACCGTGATCGTGAATCTCTTACAATAAATATTGAATTGCAGGAAGAGAGGTATTTTAATAAATTTTCCTGAATTATTAATTTTAGGATGGAAGAAATTGGAAAAGCCCAAAATTTAATGAGGGCAGCAATTCAAAATATAGGGCTTTCTCTTCAAAAAATTAATGAAGAACTTGGAAGATTAAAACCTTTACTGCTTAAATTACACAAGTTTACATTTATTTTTAGTTATTTTTATATTGTTTTTTTCAGAAAATGTGAAAAATATCGAGATAAACTTCTTGAAATGTCCAAACAGAAAGTTACACACGCCCAACTGGATAGAGTTGTCCAAAGTGTTTCTCTTGCGGTATATTTTATTTTTTAACATCTAATAAAGGACTGCTTTTTAAAAAATATATTCAAAATTTCTCTTTAGCTTGATTCAGAACCTTCCACTTTGAGCACATTTTTACTTAGAATTTCATTGCCAATGTCTAGCTGGTGTTGTGAATGTTGGTTATGGCATCAAGCAACTAAAGTTTGTTTGTTTTACTTCGCTAATCTTGTCATTTAATAGGATGAATCGATAGCACTTATTCGTTCTCTAATGAATGATTTTGACAATTCAAATGCTTCATCAGATGGCATTTTCCTCATTAGGCCAAGTAGTTCGCGTATTGGTTTTTACGCTTTAGAAATATCAAAAGACGGAAATGTGGTCTGTTTTCTTTTTTTCTTTTTCTAATTTTCATCACTTCAAGCATTCCTGTTTAATTGAGTATCGTGATCCTAGAACAACAATTGACCATTCTGGAGGTTATGGCTTTGCACAAACACAAATGCTTTTTGCTTCACTGATGGATTTTGTTCGATATTATTCTGCTGTTCCATTAAAAGAGCATAATTCTGTTTTAGACACTCCTCTTATAACGGTATAAAATTTAGGAAAAGTATTCGAATAATTTTTTTAGCCAGCTCTGAGTCAATTAAAACAAAGAAAAGAGAAGAACAATTCTAATACATCTAATACCGACCACCAACGTGATAAAGCAAAATTAAAAAGGATTGAAGCAATCGATGACGCGACAGAGTTGAGTACGAGTAGAGATGATGAGAGGAGTAAAGAGAAAATACTTGGCACTTTGTAATTTTTACTGAAATTTTTGTATAAATTGTATATAATTTTTATTATTTTTAAAAAATTTTTCAGAAATTATTTTATATTTACTAAATATTTTTGTATTTTCTATTAAGTAATGTTTTAATTTCTTTTCCTATAGACTCAATTTTTGCGGATGCGCGAATTTCCTAAAAATTGGCCTGATTCTGCTAGTCGAAATAAATCGAGGTAGGTTAATTTTAAATATTTGGAAAGTTATAGTTAAAATTCAAAAAACCTTGATGCTATACATATTTGTATTAAGACCCTAATAATACCAAAATGGTCGAATATAATCGCATATCTCGACATTTAAGAATAACTCGAATTATCTAAATATTAATGTTCTAATAATTCTTTTTTAGTGCAAGATTTAAACAATTAAATTATTGTTTGAAAGACATTCGTGTTCGAGTTTCTTTGTTCGCTTATTTACTTCCAAATTGTTTTATTTCAATATTTGAACGATACAATTCAAATATATTTTTATCTTTTATTATTATTGCAATTTTGGGATTTATCTGTGTTGTTTTAATTAAAAATAGTCGTCAACGATGGATGGTATTGTTTTAAATAATTTTTATTAAGAATTTATTTTGAAATTTAGTATTCTTCTCAAGCATTTCTGCTTGGCACTGTTAATGCCTGGGCAGTCAAATTTATTATTGATGCATTCGAAAAGGGGCGTACTGATGTGATCACTTTTTGTTTATATGTTATATTGTTTGGCCTTTTTCATTTTAGCGAATTTCTCATGACAGGTTAATTTTTTTATAAATATTTTAATAATAAAATTCTAATTTTTTAAGCATATTCTAATCCTGATTCACTTCGGCCTGATTCTTTTCTTCTAAATCATTCTTGGGCTTATTGGACAGCAGCAATGTGCTCGTGGATTGAATTTTGGACTCGTTTATGGATACTTCCCAGTAATTTTTTAATTAGCATATTTTTGAGAAATTACATTTAAAAGCTTTAAATTTTCGAAAAATTTAAGGTTGATCAAAATTTATTTCAGTACATCATTTGCAGCATTCTACTCTCCGTTTGTTTCTCTTGCCGGGTTGACTCTTTGCATACTGGGTGAAATCTTTCGAAAATTGGCTATGTGTCATGCTTCTGTTGGCTTTACACATCAGGTGTCACTTCAAAATAAATTTTTTATTATTAAAATAATTTTTCTAGATATCATTTCGTCGGAGCAGGAATCATAGTCTTTGCACAGATGGTGTCTATGCATTAGTCCGGCACCCAGGTTTTATTTATTCTCTTTATTAAGAATTTTATTTTTAGGTTATATGGGTTGGATGATGTGGTCAATTGGTACTCAAGTAAATATTTAAATTATTTTAAAATTATTTTAAAATTTAAGTTAATCCTTTGTAATCCAATTTGTGTAATTTCTTATGCTATTGTGTCTTATCGATTCTTTGAAGAACGGATATATGAGGAAGAACGTTATCTTATTGGTATTTATTTCGTTAATTATTTTAGTATGTAGTCATAATTTTAAAGAGTTTTTTGCTGAGCGTTATATTGCCTATCAGCGTTTTGTGCCAACTGGAATTCCCGGTATTAGTGGATATGAGCCTACTCATTAATATTGTTTTATTGACTTTTGTATGGAAAATATTAATTTGAAATTAAATAAAAGAATTAATTTTTCAATTGATCTCTTTATAACATTTTTGTTATTAAAGATTTTTATAAAAATGCATTTATTAAAGGTTTTGAATTTTTTTGTTTATTTTCACATTTTTGTATTGAATCGATCTTTTACCATATTTTTCAAGTTATTTAATTTTTCTATTCTCTACATATAGTAGATACAGATTTAAAATTAATATTTTATTTAAAAATGAATGGAACAACATCCAATTCGACTGTGAATGGTGTCCCTACCTTCAAAGAAGAAAACGACTCAGATGAGGGCATCGGCAAATCTGAAGCTCATACAAATGCATTTAAACGTCACAAAATTCATTTATCGCCAAAAGATGATAAGGCTACTGGATTTTCGCAAACTCCGCCTTCAAATGGCACAAATTCAGTATTTGTCACGCCTGGCATTTATAAAAGAAAAATTTGTAAACCGCGAATAAAGGAATCGACTGAAGAGGTTTATTGTTAGCTTGAATAATCTTGATAAATTTATATTTAGGTCAAATTTACCTGGTCGGTTGATGAATTGGCTATTTTCCGACCTGTCAATTTTGATGATGCTGAATTTTCTTTGCCGCCGGATGATTGGTAAGAAATATCTAGTTTTATGTTTACGCCTATTTTGTCGTACCTAATAAAACAAATGTACGATCTCGTAGCAAGATTCATTTTATCGACTCAATCCTTATAAAATATTTACCATAAATATTCTTTTATTTTAAGGAATCCCAACCCTCACCACGATGTAGAAAAATTTTGGAGTCGAAATACACAAATATTTCCTTCGCCAGATATACAAAACGTTTTTCGACCTGTTGGTGAAAATTATACAAAATCTTCATCGAGCTCAAGTCCTAACTGTTACAGTTATTCGTCGGAGGATTTTTATGGACAAAATAGTACTGAAAGCAGCAGTAGTCGATCTACTTCAAATGTATTTCTTTTTAATTTTACTTATATTTTTAAATCTTTTAGAAACGATTTATTCACTCATCAGACAACTCGCCAGACGATGCTTTGCTCTTTAAGGTTGAATTTTTGGAATTTATATGGGTATTTTAAAATTGTTTTGAATTCTTTCTTAAATGATTAATAGACTATATTAACATCGTAAAAATTTCCACCAGGATTTTGTCATTTTCCCTTTCTTAAATTTTCTTCGAATTTGTAAAAACTTCCCTTACTCTCTAAATGTTATATTCAAAGAATCTTCAGTTGGATAATATAAAGGATGAAAAAGAAAACGAGCATGAATTTGAACAAATCGAACACTCATTGTCAATTGGAGATGATGCAGATCAAATCTTTGCAGATTTGGAACACGAAAGTGGAAGTTTTGTTATGCGACAACAAGTCAATAGTCCTATAGAGAATGTAGAAAAGTTGTTATTTTTAGAGGTTAGTCTTTTCCTTGAAACTAATATTTTCAATTTTAAGACAAGTCCAATAAAACCTAATAGCTAATATATGAGGGGAATTGGTGATAATTTTTGTAAATCTTAAGGACAATGAAAAATGGTTAAAGTAATAATTGATAATAATGTTGAATATTTAAACTTGTTTATTTTAAAATTATTTGAAGGGTTAAGATAAAATTCATGTTTTCTTTTGGAATTTCTTAACAATAAGTTATTTTCCTTTCTTGTTTTTCTTCTTAAACTAAATCCAGAAAAAAATAAATATTTATTCTCAAAGTTGTAAATTTAAAAAAGTTGGTACTTTTATGCTATGTCACACCCACTGCTATCTAATTAAAGTCCTTTAATCTCCCAATTCTTGTATCAATCGACTACCATCCCAAGTAATCTGTGAGGTGTGAAATAACCGAAAAGAACCAAAAAAATTTCCTTAAAAATAAATAAGTGAAAACTTAAACGGTGGCAAGTCGTTTTGGAAGTTTTTTATTGTTACGTCTCTTTTCTTCCATTTCAATAAAAAGTTTTTCCTTCATTAAGATCTTAATTTCGTCCTTCCCGCGAGCAAGTTCCAATGCCTTATCATAAAACTTGATTGCCTCTTGAATGTTCTGCCTAAAAATATTTTATTTTGCCATGAAATTTAATTAAACTGTTAAAAAAATTTCCTCACTTATTAAGTTGCATTTTAGCAAGCATCCTGTAAGGTTCCCAATTATTTGGATCAGCTTCTAATGCATTATTCATTGTCTTCTCCATATTTTGAAAATAAGCCTCAAAATTATTTTGACTCATTCTCTCACTCGGGGGAGGTTCCAAAACTCTAAATTTTTATAATTTATTAGAGAATATTTAAACAATTAAACCCAGAAAGATAAATAGCAGCAGAACAATTAGGCATTAATTCAAGTGCTTTTTTAATTGATTCAACAGCAATTTCGTTGTTTTGCAATAAAATGCCAATCTTATAAAGGAAGTGAAAGATATTTAAAAATCTATATTTAATACTTTGACATGCATCATTAGAGCAAATACTGGAGGATTATCGGAATCCTTGAAATTTTTTTCCATAGCAAGTACATGTCTATGAATATCTGCAGTATTTCCACTACGAAGTGCCGTTACGAAATTAATATAAGTCTCATAATATCTAAATGAAAATTAATGAATTTTTTATTTAAAATTTTGTTTTCTAATAAAATTTGTATACCAAAAATCTTCTTCTTTTCAAAAGCTTATTTTCAACATTAAATACAAACTTAATAAATTTATGATCCTTATCCAATTGTTTTGCCTTCTCCAAAGCATTTGTTGCTTCTTCTAGTTGTTCAGTTCTTAGAAAAGTAGAAACAAGAAATATCTAAATTAACGTAAATAAAATTTATAAATGTATATTATTAGGCGCGGACATAATTAGTGACACATTTTTTCAATCGCTGATAAAAATGTTAAACTCTTATATTTCTCTCTTAATTTATATATCATTTTAAAGCTTAAAAAGTCCGCTTTCATTTCATATATAACGCAAAGTTCGAACGCAAAACGAACGCAACGCAAAGTTCTACCCAAAGTTCGAAATTTTGAGTTTTTGGGGGTATCTCTACTCGTTTTTTCCTTTACTTGACGTTAGGGTTTTTGTAAATTTAATTCTTAATTTAAAAATTTTATAAAATTTTGTTAATACTATCTTGTGTAACTCAGAAAGGGCTTTCGAATGGTATATTACAAGTCATATAAAATTCAGAAATTTTTCAAGAAAATTTGAAATTTGTAAAATATGCCTGATTCGACTTTTTCGACCATAACTTTTGAAATACTTAACCAAAAAATCTCAAATTTAATAATTTGATGGACAAACCCATGATGAACATATATAAAAAATTTCAAATGGATTGGTTAATTTCTGTTTATATTATAGAATTTTCCGCAAAAGCGTGCGAATTTCAGTTTGGGTTAGAGACATTCTTTAATTTATAAAATTTGAAATTTAATTAGAAGTCTATCAAATTATATATAAAATGAAAGCGGACTTTTTAAGCTTTAAAATGATATATAAATTAAGAGAAAAATATTAGAGTTTAATATTTTTATCCGCGATTGAAAAAATGTGTCACTAATTATGTCCCCACCGAATAATTTTACCAAAGGATCAACATTTAAAGGATTAATACGAAGCGCCTCATCAACTAATTGATTTAAACGTTGAAGTTTTGCCTCATTTAATGTCACATTTTCTCCATTTCCATTATCAATTCCAGATTCGTCTGTCTGATTACGTTCTAAGGTCATTTCAAGCACAATTTGAGCAACATTCAAATCTTTGTTTGCCAATTTCTGAGCTTCATCTTAATTTACAAAATAAATAATTAATTAAAAAATATATACCTAATTGTTCCCAAAAAGTCTTAAATTTGTCTGCCATAGCCACAGCTTCCTCCTCCAACCCATGATAATGAAGAAAACGAGCAGCCAAAAGTACAGCTTGTGCTTTTTCAATATTATCATTTTGGTCGTTTTCAATGGCCTTTGTCGACAACGAAACAATTTCGCTGTTTAAAAATTAAAAAACTTTAATAAGAAATAATTAAAAATTACTTGTAATTACAACGTTTTAATTCAACCAAAGCAGCATCCAAACTTCCTTCGCTAGCTTTTTCATGAAGTCCAGCAGCCCTCAACAACAACGGGTCATGAATCGAAGTGCAAAACTGCCAAGGTTCAACAACTGATTGAGAAATTTTCTGTCGCTGTCCTACACGATTCTGTACTGAAATTTCGGTAAAAATAAAAGAAATAAAAATTACCTCTAAAAGTTTATTGCATTCAACCTCGCTAATCTCATTCATAAGTTTGTCAACGTCATTTTGAATGACCGCAATTTGTTGCGAAGGCATAGAGCCTTGCTCCAATGAAAGCGAAACCAAATAGTCTAATAAATAAAATTTAAAATATTAAATAATTAATAAAACCTTCAAGTGCCTCCAAAGGTCTTTCCAAACGATGTAAACATCTTGCCCTACGAACAAGCGCCTTTGCATAATCAGGCTTTAATTGAATAGCTTTGGTGCAATGTTCAATGCATTTAATTGAATCAAGCTTAAAAAGGTAAATTAAAAATATTTTAAACATTTCTAAATAACCAAAGCATCATAACAAGCCGCAATATTATTTTCACATGCTGCCACCAATTCATCATATACCTGACCTATCAATTTAGATGGCTCGTCATAAAGTGATTGAATTATGTCATTAAAAATTTGTATGGCTTCTTGGTATCGTTTGTCTTTGTAAACATCAATTCCTTGCGCTTTCTTTTGTTCTGCCCATACAAGAAAAGCATTACGCGTCCGTCCCCCTCTAGTCTTTTTCCATAACTAAAATTATTTTAAAAAATAAATTTATTTTTTAAAAATAAACACAAACATAATAAGCCCCAATTCCCACTCCAATTCCAGTTCCAATACCAATTAACCAAATTCGATGTTTAGAAAGTAGGGATTTGTCAAAAGAAAAAATGCCGCGTTTAACATTATTTGCACTTGTAGACGCCAAAATCGCTCTCATTTTTAATCAAGAATAATAATCTAAAAATAAATATCAAATAATAAAAAGTGCCATTGACAATACAAGACAATGTTGATTTTTGGTTAAAAAGAATAAAAAAACTCGTGTCACCAAAAAAAACTCGTCGATCATAAATCACTATCATAAAAAAGACGTCTCATAAAAAATTTGTGAAAAAATAATTACTAAAAATAAACTCTAGTTTATCGCAAATGAAAATTTTTACGGGTTACTATATGGCCCAATTATGCTGAAACGGTCAATTCTGAAACGGAGCAGTTCAACTGAGTCCCGGCTCAATTGAGTCCCGGCCCTATAACTCAAGTACGGGTTGATAATTTTTAATGTTTTTGGTATCATTGGATAGAGAATTAAAAGCTCTATAATATTTCAAAAAATCAGAATTTTTGACCGATTGATAAAAAAGTAATGATTTAAAAACAAACTTTTTCAAAAAAATCTGATTTTTCGGCACTTTATCGATTATAACTTTTTTACCAGTCGGTCAAGAATTTTGATTTTTTGGTATATTGTAGCCTATTTAATGCCCTATCTAATGGTACCAAGAGTAACAAAAAGTGACCGTCCCTTCATAAGTTATAGGGTCAGGGACTCAATTGAGTCGGGACTCAATTGAGGTGTACCGAATTCTGAAAAGGCAGGTAGCGCGCGGCCATAATGACGGCGCAAAGTCATAACTTGCTTCAAAGATTCCGAATGTTTCCAAATTTAGTATTAAACAATTCCTCTTGTCGGTCTAAAAAGATTGGTACCAAAATTGATTAGGGCCCGAAGTTTTCCAGCAAATTATGGCTTTGCGCCGTTATGGCCGCGCGCCTAAATGGGCGTGTCCCTGAAAAGGCTTTTATCAAAAATCTGTCATTTTGTCATTATTCATTTTGTTAATCGGAAACATCTAGAAGTTTTTCCCTGTTAAATTTTTTCTTAACTTTGTTTTGCCTTACTTTTTAATTAATTTTTAGTTATTTTTTAAATATTTTCAAAACAATTTACAATGTGGCGTCCAGTTGTTACTTCAATGCAACGTGCTTCTACTCGAGGGTTCAGTTTTGCTTCTGCTAAGACTCCTGCTTTGACCAAATTTATTCCATTGCAACAAAATATTGCTAAACAATATTTTTCGACTTCCCCAATAAGTTTATTAAATTTTAAATTACCCTTTCATATATTTGTTTTTTAGGATTCTCTTCTGTTGCAAAGGAGCTTCAGGATGTTCTTCATGACGAAATTAATGCAGAGAAGACTGCGGAAGAGGAGAATTTGGGAGGTAAAACGACACCTTCGGTTCAGGGTTTTGAAATTGGAATGAATGACGCTGAGTTTCGACTTACGAAGACATATGGGAATGAAAAGTTTTGTTTTTTAATTTAAAAAAACATGATATAAATTTAGAATTGTGGTTTATTGTAATATTAATCACAGTGTGGAGGATGAGGAGCATTTTGAGGATGATAATGTTCCCAGTAGTGTAGCTGATGACATCGAGGAGGTATAAACTTTAATTTTTATTTAAAAAATAGATTCTTGTCCGGGTAGTTTCTTGCCATTTTGTTAACTTGTTTGTACTAGATGGAATGAAAATTAGGAAGGGAATTATCTAGAGAATTTCATTTGAAAAAGAAATTTCGTGTAAGAGGTTTTTACCCGGCCTATGTTTAAAGACGTAGGAGAAGTGTTTTCAGCCCTCTGGCTACGCTTTACTAACATTTTGTTTATATTTTAAATATTTTTAAACCAAATACATTTTTAGAATGTTCCGGTTTCGCTTCCACCATTTCATATCGAGTAAGTTTTTAATTAATTATTTTGTTTTATCCTTCTCATTATTAAGGATAACAAAAGGCAATCTTCGTCTTGTTTTCTTATGTCAAATGGTGAAGGATATTGAAGGAGGATGTAAATATTTTTATTTGATTTTCATAATAATAAATACTTTCTAGATGATTACAGCGTTGATGAGTTTATGATTGCTCCGGCTACAAAAGGTGACAAATATGTGGATGTTCCTGATGAAGTTTATTCTTCTTCTGGTCAATACATTGACGAGGTAATAATATTTTGTTAATTGACATGGGGAAAGAACTTTAGAAAGGTCAATAAAATAAATTTTCGAGAAGTATTATTCTTTCTTCCGAATAAAATTTAAGAAAACTACCGGTATTTAAACGGTTCATAATTTATTTGGGAGAAAGCAATGTTATAACTCCGGTAGTTCAGTTGGAAAAACATTTGTAGATGATGAATGACAATAGGAGTCTTAGGTTCGACTCTTGCCCGAATAATTTGTTCCCTTTAAAAAGGAAGTTGTATCTAGAGAATCTCATTTGAATAAATATTTCTTTTGAGAGGTTTTTGATACAAAAATTATTTTCTGCGGTCTTACCACTGACGTTTTTAATTTAATTAAACGTTGGCTAATACTACGCGGAACATTGGAATTTTTTATTTAAGAAAAATCCTTTTAGTTTCGAAAAATATTTTTATTATTTTTCAATTATTTAGCAACTTCATGTGCTGCTTTTTGTTCGTTATCTTGAAGAACGTGGACTTAATTCGCAGTTCTGTCATGAATTCGTTAAATTAGGTAAAATAATTAAAAAAATTTTTTTTATTTAAATTTAATTTTAGCAACTCATTATGAGCATCAGCAATACGTTAATTTGCTCGAGAAGCTTAAAAAATTTGTTGAACAGTAAATGAATTTAAAAAGTCAAAAAATGTTTTAAGTTTTTGAATTTATAATTTAATTTGATGACTTTACACTATTTTGTTGTTTTTGTCTCTACCCTTTTGGTAGTTTTAATTATTTTGAAATAAAAGTGACTTTTGAAATTAAAAATAAAATAATTTTTAAAAATTTATTTAAAATTTGTAACAATGATTGAATATTTTAGTAAAGTTTTGAAAGAAAAGAAATTGTTCATTTGTTAGTATGTGGTGGTTGTTAGTAGAGGTGACTTCTTCAGAAACAGCCCATAAACCCAAAAATAAAAGAGAAAACTGAGTTAAATAGAAATTACGATTTAAAAGATTTTCAGGAAAAAAGATTTTTTTAAATGAAATTTTTGGAGTTGAAGATTAAATAAAAATGCCCCCAAAGATGAATTTTCGTTTATTTATTTTTTATGGAAAATTTTGTTACTTCAGAGGAACTTCAAAGGGTCGTATAGAAATTAGGGATTATCCAAAAAATAACAGATATAATCAAAATTGTCCATTTTGTTGTAAATATTGTCCAATAATTACTAGGGCCTGGATTTTAATTTTCCATACAGGGAAGAATGACAGATACCTAAATATGTATTTCTGGAAGTAAAAAATATTTTAAATAATTTGGTGTATATTTAAATAGCACGATTTTCGCTAATATATTTTTTTGTTACTTAAAAAGGAACATGTAGGGTTGGCAGATTCTGGAAATTCAGATCATGTGAAGTTTAGGAACCCTTTAAAAATCCGGCCCTAATATACAATTATTTAGAAATTTTTCTTTAATAAATGCTTCCGAGATTCTCATTTTTAGCCGTTTACAAGAAGTTGAACTTGAATGAACATTTTTGATGCATTCACTATAAAATAACTGGGCTAGTTTACGGCCAAAAATCTCGAGCTTTTTCTGAAGAAGTTTTTGTACACGCACCTCTCTAAAATAAAAAAAAAATTAAATTTTTTATATTTATTTAAGAATTCTATATAAGTATTTACGTTCATTTAGTTTAATTTGAGCGAAAAATTTATTTCACAACAATTCAAAACTAGTGTAAGGCTTATTCGAAAAAACCGATTTTTCTATAATTTTACTGATACGATATTGTTATACAGGAAAAAACCCCGACCGTACGTGCCCAACACTATTCAATACGGCTGTTTCAGGAATTGTTTTTTGAACAGAAAATCAGTCTATTATTCTGCAAAACGATTCGATCTTATTTATTATTTTTCTCTCAAAATCCCACCAAAATCTTATTAATTTTCGGAAATCTCGGTTTCGAGCAATTCTAATTTAGAAATAAAGTCAATTCAACTCACTTTTATAATTAATTTATTTACACTTGACTAGATTGCACTTGAATCGACCCATTATTTTAAATCTAATAAATTAGTTAAATTATGTAAAAAATATGTAAACTTACAATTAATTAAATAATTTTAGAAATTATTTCCTCATTTTTAAGAAAAATTAAAATTTAGAAGAAAAAAGAATTTTGAGAAAGGGAAAAGAAATATTTAGAAGTAAAGCTGAAAATATTCACAATAAATTGTTTTTTACATCTAAAAAGTATATAAGTAATAATTTTCTGTAAAATTCTAAAAAAATGTTTGTGGAAAAAATAAAAATATTTATGAATGGCCTAGAATGGAACCTAAATAAAATAGAGGATTTGCATTATTAATAACACAAATTGTGGACTTTTGGAAAAACAATAATACAAAATTATCAACAGATTTTTAAAATAAATATTAGAAAAACAACTAAAGTATAAATCAACGAAAGGACAATGTTCTTCCAAAATATATGAGATAATTACTACTAGTCTTAAAAATTGGAATAAGTAGATAAAAGGATTAAATTTAAAAATTCTTGAAGGCATTTAAAAATAATTTCTTTTAGTTTATAATAACAAAATTATTCTTAATTTATCAAGAATCTTCTCTATATTTATTTTTATGATTCATTTAAATTAATTCTTTAATATTTCTTGTTATCAGGTCAAAAATAATTTATTTGTTTAAATATACAATATTTACAAATTATTATTTACCTTTAATTATTTAAAAATAATTTAAATGAAATGTTTATTTTAATCAAGAAACTCCCGGTTTTCTACAAGGAGTGAATTTAATTTATTTTAAATACAGTCAAATTTCAATCGGCTCAATTCGATCCCGGTGGTAAAAAATAATTTATAAAAATATTATCGAGATTCAAATGTAAATAATGAATTTACCGACGAAGAAAAATTAAATAAAAATATTAT